ATGTGAAGAGTGTTTTTTTGCATGGTGAGTTGGGGGAGGATGTCTACATCGAGCAACCTCAAGGATATGTAAAGAAAGGAGAAGAAGACAAGGTGCTCAAGCTTCGGAAGGCTTTATACGGCTTGAAACAAGCCCCACGGGCCTGGTACAGCAGAATAGAAGCTTACTTTCTCAAGGAAGGCTTCGAGNACAAGGTGCTCAAGCTTCAGAAGGCTTTATACGGCTTGAAACAAGCCCCACGGGCCTGGTACAGCAGAATAGAAGCTTACTTTCTCAAGGAAGGCTTCGAGAAGTGCCCAAGTGAACACACCCTGTTCACTAAGTCTAAAGAAGAAGGGAAGTTGCTGGTTGTGAGTATCTATGTCGACGATCTAATATTTACAGGTAATGATGGCATGATGTTTGATGAATTCAAATCTTCGATGAAGATTGAGTTTGATATGACAGATTTGGGGAGGATGAAGTACTTCCTAGGTGTCCAAGTGGTTCAAAGTGATGAAGGCATTTACATCAGTCNCGTCGATGAAGATTGAGTTTGATATGACAGATTTGGGGAGGACGAAGTACTTCCTAGGTGTCCAAGTGGTTCAAAGTGATGAAGGCATTTACATCAGTCAAAGAAAATATGCACATGAGGTGTTACAGAAGTTTGGTATGGAGAACAACAATGCTACAAGAATCCTATGGTACCAGGTTTCAAGCTAACAAAATATGAAGGGGGAACAAAAGTCGACGCCACTTAGTATAAGCAGGTGATTGGAAGCTTAATGTACTTAACTGTTTCTAGACCTGATTTAATGTATGTGATGAGTTTGGTGAGTAGATACATGGAGAAGCCCACTGAGTTGCATATGGTGGCGGTGAAAAGGATCTTGAGGTATTTAAAGGGTACCACAGAATTGGGAATTTGTTACAAGAAGGGAGGAGGAGTTGGTGAACTTGTTGCTTATTCAGATAGTGACTATGTTGGTGACTTAGATGATAGAAGAAGCACTTCAGGCTATGTGTTTATGATGAGTTTTGGAGCAGTGTCATGGAGTTCCAAAAAACAAGCAGTGGTTATACTTTCAACTACAGAAGCTGAATTTATCTTAGCTGCATTGTGTGCTTGCCAAGCAGTATGGATGCAAAGAGTTCTCAAACATCTCGGCTGGAATCAAAGTAGGTGTAGTGTTATTTATTGTGACAATTGCTCTACAATTAAGCTTTTCAAAAATCCTGTCATGCACGGGAGGAGCAAACATATAGCTATCAGATACCATTTCCTTCGTGATCTTTCAAAGGATGGTGTGGTGGAGCTAAAATATTCCAGTTCACAAGAACAAATCGCAGATATAATGACCAAGCCACTGAAACTGGATGCGTTTGTGAAACTGAAGGAACAACTTGGAGTCTGTCAGGTACCAAAGAAGTAAACTGGTTGCAATGAGCAACTCAGTTTAAGGGAGGAAATGTTGAGTCTATTAAGGTTTAGAANTCATGACCAAGCCACTGAAGCTTGATGCGTTTGTGAAACTGAAGGAACAACTTGGAGTCTGTCAGGTACCAAAGAAGTAAACTGGTTGCAATGAGCAACGCAGTTTAAGGGAGGAAATGTTGAGTCTATTAAGGTTTAGAATTGGTCTTTTTTCTGTTTGTTATTTTCTGTTAATAACAACCCTGATTGTTAGGGTGTAGTGGCTAGGTTTGACTTATTCAGCAGTCTGTTTGCACGTTCTTAGTATACTTTGAACGTGTATTGTTATTCCTTATCTTTCAGTGTAAATGGCTGATTATAAAGCCAGTAGCTTTCATTTGAATAAGTGTGACATTCCTTCAGCAGCTTTGTGAGTGAAATACTTTGAGCTTTAACAGTAAGTGTGTGGGAATGGGTAATTTGTAGGTATATCCTCTGTTTGCGGCAATAAGGGTAGCCGTGGGGATTTGCGGGATCTCCTTCTCCCTCTCCCTTTCTCTCTCTAGACAAAACAGTTTCTACATTTGTCATTTAGTCACCAAAGTATACGCTACACAAATAGGTACAAATTAAGAATTTTAAGGACTAAATATATACAAATTAGGAACTTTAAGGATCAAATATACACAAAATTAGGAATTACGTGATTGACGCGTGATCAAAACCGTTACGATTTTCTAGCGGACGTTTATAGTTGGACCACTAAGATACAAATTAAGAACATTAGGGGCCAAATTAGAAACCTTAGAGACCAAATAGACACAATTAGAATATTGGGGTTTAAATAGATACTAAACACATACTTTGAGGACTAAAAGTGTATTTTACCCTAATTATTTTAACTCATACTTGATTGATTATGGCTTGGGAATCAATTTTTTTTATTATTTAAATAAAAAAAGATGAATGGAGTGGATTCATTCACAATCAAATATCATTTGGGCTCTGTCCATATGATTTCACAATACAAATGGGAGTCCATATACCATATGGCTGCTTGCAACATAAATTACTCCTACTCCGTCCATTTCTGCTAGGAAATGTCAGTGTCCTTCCGTCATGGTATTGGCCATGTTGTGGCGGGGATAGTTATGGTGGTGCATTGCTGTTGAAGGTGTTGACATTATGGTGTTAATGGTGAGGGTGGGTCCAGAATTCTGGTGGACGTGGTGGTAGTGTTGGCCACTGATGGTTGGAGTCAGTGATGGGGGGTGATAACATAGTCAGGAAGGATGATACCAGTGGAAGGGTTTGCCATGGATCAGCTATGAGAATAGTAATCGTGAAGGTCATTGGCAATATTGGCTGTGGTATTTGTATACTGTTGGTTATGGTAACATTCTAGTAATCTGTATGTGGTATCTGATTGTGTGCACGGATTTTGTTGTTAAGTCTTTCTCTACTACTTTTCTTTCTCTTTGGTGCTGTTGCTGGAGGCTTTTGCCAGGTCTTATTAGTTTCTTTATGTATTTGCTCCATTTAACTTCAGTTCTAACCTGGTAGCTACAATAATACACTTCTCTTACTAAAATTTGGGATCCATTTTATTTTTTTGGAAATGGACATGAACTTCTAAAATTTCGGGTTAGTTGCACAGAAAAACAAATTAAACCAGTAATATTCTGAATCAAATGCAGATTCGAAATTCTCATCTTCCGTGGCTGTTGCATCATTGTTGTTTTATTTCCCCAAAAAAGTTGAGATATGGGTTTGTTGAGTTTAGTTGAGTGTAAAAAAGGTGCACTACTTACAATGGTGCATTAATACTGAATTTGAACCTAAAACAATTGGGAGTACCCCTTGCATATCCCTGCCCTGTTTTCCACATTGTTATTTCCTCCATTGATCTCTTATGTCAAAGCATTACTATCATGCATTGTGCTCAGATACAATAAAACTACTACACCGGTTTAGTTACTGACATGTTTTCCTGTTTGCAAAATCAAGGGTAACCAAGGAAAACAGGGGCGCAGGAATACTGGATAACTTTGCTGAAGGAGAAAAGTATGCTGAACATGCCCCGAGAAAGTTTGCCCGCAATAAGTCTCCAGAGATAATGCCATCTGTGCGGGGATAAATCCACGCAATCACCAACTCGCACAGACGGAGAGGGTGGCGGAGAAGCCTTGGTCAAACTGTAAGACAAGAGGACGTTTAGGTGAATCGATGGTCGAAGGCAGTCAAAGGGACTCCGATGTTTAATTCAATAAGCAAGTCGAAGAAAAGTGTTTACGGTGAATAGACTAGGATTGAATGAGATATCTAATACCCATAACCTTTATTTATAGCGATATAGTTCCAAGTAAAATCGAACTCTAGGTTGTGATAGGATATATCTCATCACCAAACCCCAGAATGTTTGAGGTAGAATCATACTAAGACGTTGAATCTTGGCTTGTAAGAAGGGATATGCTCGTTGAAGGCTTTGTTTATCAATATTCATTTGATACTCGGAATCGAGTTTTGCTAGAACTCTAGGTCCCGAGTCAAGTTGGGCGCCGGACAGAGGCGACACCAGGACAAGGGGCGTGGTAGTGCCAGGTGCAAGTGACGCTGGAAGCGGGGCAGCACCCTGGGGCACTATTGGCCACGTTAGGAGGCTAGGCAGGCGCCTTGGGCGCTGCTGTGATGAGCGACGCCTCTCTGGTGCTGTGCTGGAGGTCAGTAACTGACCTCTGTCCCACACCATCAATCAACAGCTTCTTCACCGACCCGAAATGAAAAAACCACGTCTTCCTTGATCAATAATAACCCTCACTACTTTTACTTTGGTAAGTATTGATTGTTTTGGTTGGAAATAAAGTTTAGATCTGCTTATACTCAAAAACTAAGTGGTGGTCGAATATCATTAGAAACTTGAATAAGTGTAACGCAGATTACACCTATCTTGTTTAAACAGCAGCACCTTTCGGATGTTATACTTGTACCATTTTTTCAAGAGGTTTCTTTTTTTTTTCTTTTCTGGTCATCCAATCTGGGATAATATTTAAAGCAAAAGACATATACGTTTGCGTGCAAAAATGGTAGAGATATCGGCATGTCATGATGCCAGTTATCTAATATCGGCAGGTCATAGGACAACCATTTGGTCCGCTTCTCACAAAAACAAACTGTTGGTATTCCAGAAACAAACTGTTGCCAAGGGACTTCCAGAAGACAAATGACTCACGGGTTATGTGTTGATAATCAGAGAAGCTGACTATGTATATTAGCCCTCAAAGGGTAGAAGAATCTGTTTTAAATGAGCTAAATTTTTACTAACCAGCATGAAATCATCTGCCCAATGAGGTCAACACAATAACCTCAGCAAATCGAAAAGATACTTGCAAGAATTCCATTTTGTACTCACTGTGGCGTAAATGTAGACAACTTCTAGGCATGATAAGGAAAATATTTGTGAGACGGGACTACAAATTAAATTACCAGATAGAAGAAGTGCAGGGCAACAAAATCCCGACGTTTCAGCTATCATAACACCAAATAAAGGACTGCTGAGGAACAAGAACAGAAGAATCAGAAATAATAAATGAATACTAAAATTTCATATCGTTCATTCCCTAAATTTGGTAAACCAATAATCACATAAATCCATACAAACAAAAGGACCCCAAAGCAAAATCAGAAGGCGAGAGTACTGCTGAACTAGTTCTTGACAAAGCTAGAAGAGGAAACAGAAGTAAAAGACAAAAGCAAGACCGGGAATCTATTGATCGACTGTGGTCACCTGTTGCCACTCGCCATCAACTGCTTCTTTCCACAAAGTGACATTGTTGTCCCCAGCAGCTACAGCCAGCAAGTTTCCAGTCAAAGACCATGAGACCCTCCAAACCGGAGTCTGAAAGTCCTTCAAAACCTTACCCTCCCATTGATCACCTTCTTTTGCCACTGTCCAGATGACAACTGTCCCGTCCTGTGAAGCACTTGCAATTGTAGACTTTGGAAGACCCAAATTGGGAGCCCAAGCCACATCTCTCACCCAATCAGCATGCATCTGAAGGGCAGGGAAGCAGTCCATCTTCCAATTTCCATTATATATCTTCCACACCTTTACAGTATTATCACAGCCACCAGAAGCCAGCTTCTGGACAGGCTCCAGTATACCGAATCCAACTAGAGCACCAGGAGCCATTGAAGGGGCCCATGAGACAGATGTTACACCAACAGGGTGGGCTTGATCTATTCTTGTGGTGTCCCAACCGCCATCTGACCTGGCAGTATAGACAGATATATTCCCGTCAGAGGATCCACAAGCCAAGCAAAGGCCAAGTTCATGAGGAGCCCAAGCAATAGAATTGACAGATGACTTGTGGTCCGTAAAAATATGAGCCTGTGTCCACTCGTTTGGATTACCCTCCCTCCAAATTATTACTTTCCCATCATAGGAGCAGGAAGCAAGGATTGAACCAAACTTGGGGTGTGCCCAAGCAGCCTGCCAAACGGGACCTTGATGACCACACAAAGTAGCAAGGTGCTGTGAAGGAGAATTGTTGCTTACACCAATTATCTTGATGGTGGTATCAGAGGAAGCAGTTGCCACACGCTTTCCATAGTAATCCATGGTTACATCATGAACTGTGTCATTGTGACCTGTTTCAATCTTCTGGGCAGGCATGTTTTCAGATTAATGTATCACTACTATTTACTTTCTAAATGCCGCCAACTCAGTTTTATGTTTTACAGTATCTCCTGAAATCCTACAATTTGTAAGATCAAAACAAAATCAAATCATTATACATAAAGTGAATAATTGCTCAGACAGATTTCCAAGTTAAAGTGTAAAAATCATAACATATCAAGATAATTTATCAGTCAAAACACAAGTGATTCTTAGTAATAAAAAGACTATCAACAAGATTTGACACTAGAAATTGGAAAATAAAACTCTACACTTCTAGGTTTTAAGAAAATATGACTTCAAACTAGTAGATGAGGTATAGATCTTATACATTCACAACTAACTAGCACATTGAGGAACAACACATGGGCAACAATTAGTAGACCTCGATGAACAATTCCCGTCAGATATGTTCCTCCAACCACCCAGAAACACTGCCCTCTTTGCAAAAACACCTTTATCAGGAAAAGTAGTTCCTGCTTTCTCATCCCACCAACAGAATGTTATAATTTCTATATTAACAACTCCTAGTTAGATGCCAAAAAGATGGGGGGAAACTTCCCAAGTTTCCAACAATGAGTAATATGGAAAACAAGGAGAAACTTCATCCTTAGACTCCTGCCATATCCATGGGGATTACAAAAATGGAAAAGTGACTAGTTTAACTATGATTTCCTTTCGAGCTTATAAGCCACAAAAAGTGCTCAAACAATATGATTTTACATCATCACATCGGGATTTGGGCGATGCCCTAATATGAATTAGGAGCTGGTATAGAGGTCGAAAAAAGGATCGATTTCTACGTGCATAATGAGTTCCTCAGAATGCTCTGAAAAATCACATTTACTCCAAGTCCAAGGCCTAAATCCATCTCTTGAAAAATGATTTTGGCATCCGACTGAAGTTCAATATCATCCCACTGTCTTAAACGTAGGATTTCTGGACAAGCGCATCATAAATACAATGTTTGCGTAGTTGATACTAAACAGTTCTGTGAATTTCAAAAACCTAATATAACCCCATGCATGATATAACTATTAACCTCAGTTTAAGAAAAAAAACTCAATTCAATTATTCAGTCATGGACCCAAATCAAACTCATACATATTGCAGATTACACAATCGTAATAAAATCTCTAACCATTAACAGAAAAATGAACATTTTGCCAAGCTACGATGACAGATCTGGGATTTTTCCTCAGATCCAACGAGTTCTCAATCAAAAAAACGAGTAACATGCACATACAAACACATATTTATACATATATATGCCGAAATTGGGAAGAATAGAAGGGAGTCTTACCTTTGGGATAGACGAAGCAATTCGCGAGGATCGAATAGATACGAGCTCCGGAGAAGTATAAGATGCTGTTCTTTTTAACTAACGCTCCAAATTTGTGAAGAGGAAGGGTGTAATTTATGGGGGTTGTTTGGGTACATCGCTTATCGCATCCTAATTCAGCATTTATTAAACCTGCATGAACTCCTTTGTTATTGGGGTAATTCTATGTTATTGGAATTTTTTTTTTTTGATATGTTACTAAAGTTATTGTTTTTTAAGATTAATTTACGTATTTTTAAATATTGAAAAGAATTTATTCTTAATTATGAAATATTGTACTCAGATCATAAATAACTTGAACCATATATATCTTGATTTTTAAAACTTGCAACTTAAACTTTTAAAATTTATAATTTTCATAATTAATTATAAAATTTTAACATCGATCATGTTATTTATAATTATAACTTATCTCTCAAAAATCTTCTTCAATTATATATCCAAACTCGACCAAATCAAGAAATATTTAATTTTTTATTCAAATCAAATGACACTAAACCTTTACTCAAATTACAAATATATTTGATGTTACAATCGGCAATCAATCGACGATTACGTACATGAGAGATTTGTGTTACAATTTCAAATTCAAAACATACGTTTTCGTGTATGTGGGGATTCCTCCAACCCAACACACATAAAAGGAAGAAAATTTATCAAGGAATGGAGAACATAAAATTTTGTTTGATAACTTCTTGCAGGGTCTCATGTATCACGAGCAAAATGGAAAGCTTCCCAGTACACACCATGCCAATGATTCAACCTTCTGCATCTATCCTTACAGCTGAAATGCAGGTTTCAAGAACAGAAGAAACACAACCGCCACCGGTAAGCTTACACAGTAAAGGGATGAAGTGAACAGAGTCTGAAACTTAATGCTAGAATTTAACTAATGAAAGCCGAAATTGTCACATACCCAACATACGAATATATAAGTCAGGGCGACCTGCATGTCTCTTTTATGTAATCCGCTTGATCTTATGACAGAACTATCGTTCCTCGCATATGATATTGCAAGAAGAAAATATTACACACTGGCGTGATAAATCCATAACTTCTTGCACAAATCTTTAACCATATTTGGATCCAAGAACAGCATACCAGTAGAGCATGGAAAAAACATATTCACACGCTCCAGTGATGTTTCTGCTGGAGTTTATCATATTTGCCATCGATTCTCCAAATTGATCAGAAAATTTTAGCATCAGCTGAACATGACCAAGAAGGAGAAAACTATATCAGAAGTCATTCCCTTGATTATTCTCTGACACATTCCACCTGTATTGTCAAATCCTTGATTCCAGCATCATGTAATATGCGTGACACCTGTGCCTTCGCAGAAGCCTTCTCTGTTACCGCGGAGACATGAAGATGGATAGTCCCCACAACATCTGTGTTTGTGAAACTCCAGACATGCAAGTTTTGAATCCGACACACCCCCTTAATCTTCATGACATTGTTTACAGCTGCCTTCAGATCCTGCTCATGAGCCCTTGGAACTCTCTGTAGCAAAATTTCAGCAGAGTTCTTGAGCAAAGGGATTACAGAAGATACAATCAATACAGAAATAAATATTGAGGATGCAGGGTCTGCAACAAGCCATCCCTTGTACTTAATTAAGAGGGTTGAAACGACCACCCCAACACTTCCCATAGTGTCTGCCAAGACATGCAAGAAAATGCCCTCCATGTTGTGATCAATATGGTGGTGGTGGTGCTTGTGTGGTTCCTCTGCATTGGAAGAAGTCTGATCAACATGTCTATGAGAATCTATGAGGGCAGGCAAATCTGCTCTCACATGACCTTCAATGGGTTGGCCATCTGAACTAGTTGAAGAACTAATGGGGATGACTCCATGGACATGGTGGTTAGCATTATCATGAGGATGATGAAGGTAGTGGTTGTGGGTGTGGTCGTTATGTTGTTGCCCATCGTCATGGTGATGACCATGATCATGGCTCTGTGAACAACTCTGTTTGTGGTCTTCTGCATAATCACTATTGTGGTGGTCACTACAGTCATGGTGCTCATGATCACCACCAAAATGGTCATGATGGCCTGAACATGATTTCTCATTGCAGCTATGAATAACGGTGATGCACTCTGGATGTTTACTGTGATCATGTCCAACATGGTCATGTGAATGGTGCTCGTGCTCGTGGTTAGAGTTGGAATGGGAGTGTGAGTTAGAATGCGAGTGTGAACATGATCCAGATCCACCATGGGAATGATGATGCTCTTCATGAAAGAAGATCAGACCAATCACATTTACAAAAAGCCCTCCAATTGACACAGTCAGTAGACTGCTGGTTGAAATCTCTTGAGGTTCCAAAATTCTCTCAAATGACTCCAGCACAATTAATGCTCCAACCAGAACCAAGAAAACTGCATTCGTATATCCTGAAAGGACCTCAAATCTCCCACGACCATAATTAAATTGACTGTTTGCTGGCAACCGTGAAATATAGGAAGCATACAATCCAATTGCCAAAGCAGCACAATCAAACAACATGTGACATGCATCCGATATCAAACCAAGACTATTGCTCGTAAACCCAACAACAAATTCCACAACCATATAAGCAGCGTTGATCAAAAGGAAAAGAGCAATCTTACGGGACTTTCTTTCACTTAAAATGTGGCGGATAGGTTTCATAATAGAGGCAGTAAACGATTCCGATGATTCCAACCCAAGTTCAGGATAACTAGAATACACAGGATCCAATTCTCTGACAGCAATCCAAAGCAGTAAACCACAGATTAACAATCCCCAGAGCGAAAGTTCAGGAAAATAGAACAGCTCCAAAACAAGAGTACAGACAAATGTGACAAGAAATTCTCTCTGAAAATCTTTGGAACTCACTAGCTTCTCATCAGTGTAATTCTCACTCAAAAGTACTCCAAACACAACAGTATTTGCCAAAGGCCATCCAAGATTGGTAAGGGAAACACTATCTCCCTCTGCTTCAAACACTAGCATGCTAATAACAGCAGGAAAGAAAAGCACAACAGTGGTGAAAAATAGTGAAATCAATCGAACCCGTTTTCTACCCAGGTCCTTAATTGTCCCCCAATTCATCGAAACATGCTCGTAACAGCCCAAAAACCCACACAGAAAAGGTAGCAACATTGGCCAAACCCTAACACAATTTTCATTGGGAATCACCGAAAAGCCGAATTTATTAAGATTCATAGAAGACAGAGGAAAGCATTCAATTCGATCCCAACTCACAGAAAACAAAACCAACCCAAGAATCAAGGCAAAAAACCCACGAACCTTTGACGATCCATATCGATCCCGACTAATAAAATTCCGATTTCGAACCTCGGCGACGAACCTTGCCGCCACATTTCCAGACAATTCCGCAAGGATCATCGCTGCGGTGCCGCAATATCGAAGGGCTTGGAATCGAAGGAGAAAGACTATAGCAAGTAGAATAGATTTGCCTAAAAGAAGTCTATGCTGAGATTGGGTAATTAAGGTGAGAGAGAAAATGGGTTGGTTTTGTTTTTGGCGGAAAGGGTCTTTCGAGGGAGACGATGAGGAGGTGAAGAACGAGGAGGCGAGAGTGAGGAGAAAAGAGAGTAGAGAGACGAGGAAAGAGAAAGGGAAGAGAGAGAAAGAGGATGAGGATGATCGGAGGAAAGGGAGGAGAGAGTAGAGAGACCGGAGGGAGAAGAGGAGAAGGAATAGGAAGGAGAGAGAGGATGTTCTGGTGGGTCGTTTGTTGATAGAAGAGAGAGAGGCGAGGCGGTGTTTGGAGGGAGTAGGGATTGGGGTAGAAGGAGGGTATGGGAAGACAGGGTAGGAGGGTCTTGTTGAGGAAGGGGTGATGAGAGTGGTGGTTGGGGCGGTGCGTGAAGGAAGAGAGAGACGATGAGGGCGGTGTAGATGGTGTTGGTGGTGATCCGCCATGGCCGACTGATCTGATGGAAAATTGAACAGAAGAGCCTTTGCGCAGTGAAGAAAGAGCCTCGACGATCTTTGTTGGAGAGCTTGGAAGACTTGACTTCTGCTTGGGTACCTTTGCTTGACTTTTTATTACTCTCTTTGGATTGGGGGAAAAAACATTTATAATTTTAATTCTTCTATTTTATCCTTATTTGTTCATATAATTAATTAGCGAAAGAATGAGAAGAAAATGACCAAAAAATATAAATAAATAAAAAGAATAAAAATTTTCATCGCACTCTTTCCCCAACTAGATAAATTTGGTATTTTCTTTGCAACCTATTATGAAAAATGTTATTAAAATTTTTATATCAAATGATTTGATGTAATTTTTATCATTAAATATTAATAAAATTAACTTATTTAATAGTAAAAAATTATATCACATCATTTAGAATAGAGATTTGATAAAAAAATTTAATAAACATAACGTTACTCATCTACTATATACGATTATAGCGGACTTGATTACGTATATGTGACATTATAGAACTTAAATAAGAAGAAGGAAAATATAAGAAATGAGAAGAAATTTAAAAAGATAAATCTAAATTGTTAAATGTGGTAGAGTAGAAGTTATAGATAGGTAAATATGGTAGAGGTAGTGAATAAAAGAAAACATAGGATATGAATAATAGTATGTACACTGGACAGGGAGACCTACCTTCTCTCTATTGCATTAATTTATCATTATTGTGATGATTATCAAGACTTTTAGAATTATTAGCAATACACGATGTGCGTTGTACATAAATAAATTTAAATAATATCTTGTATTTTAATTATTGTTAAATTTAATTATTAATTTATTTTATAAACTTTTGAATACTGTTATTTATTTAGGTATACTCCAACCACTTTAAATATTTGCACATTTAATTATATTATAGAATTATTAATTTTTATTTTGTTAAATAAATTGATTAAATTATTTATAATATTATTATATACCAAAAAATAAAATATAACATATATTTAACCATAAAATTTAATTTGTTAATTATACGTGTATAATAATTTAATATATATAAAGCCTTACTTTTTTATATAGATATATAAAATTTTATATAATTGTGCTACTAATAAGTGAATTCAAAAGAATTTAAAAATCCTTATAAAAGAGTCCAAAATAAGTTAAAAGTCAAATAGGAGTAAAAAAATAAAAATTAGATGAAAATATGTAAGTGAGTATAATTGACTTAGTATAATAATTAGTGATAAAATAAGAAATCAAAATTTTTTTGCAAATGCTAGTTTTTATAAGTAGTATGAATATAGTGACTAAATACTGGTTTATCTAAGTTTCTAGAATCACAATGACTTTAATATCCCTAAAACCACAATGAAACTCGAGAGGGAGATTATTAAATTAAACACTCAAACTAAGCATTTTCATTCAAGTTGATTATAGCCACACTTGAGTTCAACTCTTCCCTCAATTCAACTATACTTATCTCACATACACTATATCAGATGGATATGGTATTCTGTGTGTAGGTTTCAATTATTGATACAACACTTTCACCACCTACACTTAGTACCACCATTATTACCCTCCATAATACACATTTTTATACAAATCAACTCCAATCTTCAACCGTACGTCCGGTTTTGATGATAGTATATAAAGCCTGAATGCCTTCGATATCATCTTCATGAAGACCTTTGGTCACTCCAGGAGAAACGTAGGGGAGACTTGAGAAATGTAGGAATGTCGAACGGGATCCCGTCGCCATGATCATGGCTTTCGAAACTAACCTTAAGATCTGCATAAGCGTAGTTTGAAGTCCACGAGAATGTGAAGCGTGTTACAGAAGCGGTCATGACATTAGGATGGGTACCAGGTAAAAAACCATAGGTGAGGTGGGTTTTGTAATTTGGCCATCTTCTGTAATTATAGAAGAAAGAGCAATCAGAGATTGTGTGGAAGGAGCTTGAGACATGGGCATGGCTTTTCTTGCCTACTCCTCTCATTCTATTAGTACCATTGATGATATCGGNCCACTCCAATCTTCAACCGTACGTCCGGTTTTGATGATAGTAATATAAAGCCTGAATGCCTTCGATATCAGACCTTTGGTCACTCCAGGAGAAACGTAGGGGTGACTTGAGAAATGTAGGACTGTCGAACGGCATCCCGTCGCCATGATCACGGCTTTCGAAACTAACCTTAAGATCTGCATAAGCGTAGTTTGAAGTCCACGAGAATGTGAAGCGTGTTACAGAAGCGGTCATGACATTAGGATGGGTACCAGGTAAAAAACCATAGGTGAGGTGGGTTTTGTAATTTGGCCATCTTCTGTAATTATAGAAGAAAGAGCAATCAGAGATTGTGTGGAAGGAGCTTGAGACATGGGCATGGCTTTTCTTGCCTACTCCTCTCATTCTATTAGTACCATTGATGATATCGGCCACCTCACATCGGGGCACCATCATCTTTGCCACTGTTGGAGCATCTAGGTTTCTGGTGAGGGTAAGATTGTAATTTAGCTGGTAAGTTTTGATGGCGGAAAAAATCACCGTTGGCATGTATTTGATTTGCTCAAAGTGGGGCTGTTTACAGGCTCTGCCCACTAACGTATTATAAGTTTACCTCGATAAGAAGAGGAAGACAAAAAGTAATGGCGTTTTTACCGAGTGCGTGCTGATGAATATANAACTTTGCCACTGTTGGAGCATCTAGGTTTCTGGTGAGGGTAAGATTGTAATTTAGCTGGTAAGTTTTGATGGCGGAAAAAATCATCGTTGGCATGTATTTGATTTTCTCAAAGTGGGGGCTGTTTACAGGCTCTGCCCACTAACGTATTATAAGTTTACCTCGATAAGAAGAGGAAGACAAAAAGTAATGGCGTTTTTACCGAGTGCGTGCTGATGAATATACCATAATGCGTGCCGATGAATGTACTATGATGTGAGGGTGACTTGGGAAGACATTTGTAATCTACCATACCGAATCTGTGTTAGACTTTTGTAAGTGTAGAAAGTTACGATCCAATCAGGTAAAAAGACTCGAACACATCAAACCAATGCCCAGTAAGTGATGCCGGTATAGCCACACCTTTTATAACTCATAAGTATACATCCACAGAGATTTAAGCCCCTATGACATCTGATCATAANAAGACTTTTGTAAGTGTAGAAAGTTACGATCCAATCAGGTAAAAAGACTCAAAACACATCAAACCAATGCCCAGTAAGTGATGCCGGTATAGCCACACCTTTTATAACTCATAAGTATACATCCACAGAGATTTAAGCCCCTATGACATCTGATCATAAGTATACATTCATGCATTGGGGAAAGTAAACATGAGGAAAGGTTTATATAAAATCACTTGGCACAGATCTGCTAACCAACGACTGTGTGGTAGGTACATAGATTTCTTATTCCATTTCACTTCCTCAAAAAGAGGGACATAAAAGTCTTGANGCATACATTCATGCATTGGGGAAAGTGAACATGAGGAAAGGTTTATATAAAATCACTTGACACAGATCTGCTAACCAACGACTGTGTGGTAGGTACATAGATTTCTTATTCCATTTCACTTCCTCAAAAAGAGGGACATAAAAGTCTTGATCCAATGCAGTCTAGAAGAGAAAAGGAGGGGGGGGAATAAATAATTACGAACTGGTGCTCCCTCAAACCCCTCTTCACTAATAGAGCTGCACATCGATTGGTTTCCCTCACATCCAAAACCATTACATGTGCAAGAATTTTGGTAGTACCAAAAACAATGGTGGTATTCCTATAATCTGAGTAGCAGAACTATGATGTGTTTCTTTCCCGAAAAATATAGCAGAGAAATGATTATTGACAGGTGCAGGGTGACAATAACAATAACAACAACAAAAGAGTGAAGATAACAATAATTGTACAGAGCTGGCTTCAAACCCCCACTCATTTGATTTTTGCGGACAAATTCTTTCGACAGCTTTTCTTTGATATATTTACCAAAGGAGCGGTTCAAGNGGTAACAATAATTGTACAGAGCTGGCTTCAAACCCCCACTCATTTGATTTTTGCAGACAAATTCTTTCGACAGCTTTTCTTTGATATATTTACCAAAGGAGCGGTTCAAGAAAAATAGGTTTCAAACCTCAGTTCTTACCAAGTTCTTTGACTTTCCGTTTCTCTTTTACGTTAAGTTTCTACAGGTTTGAAGGGAACAAGCATTGGTATATGATGGATGTGTTTAACTGCATGCATATTGGTTTTGAACTTTGATTTGTTAACTGACAATATATTCCTTATTCTATAATCAATAGTACTTCATCTGGTCACTACATTAACAACAAATACCATACAAACTAGGCAGTGGTCTATGACATGAACAAACAGTGAGCCTGTGTATGTTTAACCAGACTGGATGGGGAGCAACATGAAATCACAATCATTAAAGGAGTTTGGATTGGACATCCCCTATTAAGAATATCAGTCAGTGTTTCATTTAGGACTGAAAATAAGTCCAGCGCTTCAATTGGCCCTTAGATAATGTGGCCTATTTTCTACATCCTTACTTGATTGGAATGAGATCTGAGACTTCAATGCATGATCTCAGTTCTATTGATCTCTACGATTGTAGTAATGCCAGAGAATATCAACATCAAGATGTTATCACTATCCTAAAGCTTTATAAAACAACTAATTATTGCTTCATATGAGCATGATGTTTGAACAATGTCAAATGCAACCACAGGTAAATATGGATGGATTGTTGACAAAAATTACAAGTGTACGACTCAATATCAGTATAATTCCATTGATACAAAATTAACAACTAGCAACTCAGAAACAATATCAAACAGCAACAATTAAGCAANACAAAAATTACAAGTGTACGACTCAATATCAGTATAATTCCATTGATACAAAATTATCAACTAGCAACTCAGAAACAGTATCAAACAGCAACAATTAAGCAATATAAAAGAAATAAAGGTGTCACCTTCAAAATGGTAGGAAAAAAACTCACAAGGCAANAACAACTAGCAACTCAGAAACAATATCAAACAGCAACAATTAAGCAACATAAAAGAAATAAAGGTGTCACCTTCAAAATGGTAGGAAAAAAACTCACAAGGCAATGTAACTCGTAGACAATATCTCTAGATCAAAACTAGGAAAATGATTATTCTCAACACATTTATATGNAATGTAACTCGTAGACAATATCTCTAGATCAAAACTAGGAAAATGATTATTCTCAACACATTTATATGATCTGACCAAAAAAAACCTCATTTATACCAAGTATACAGACCCCTTTCTCCTCTAACCACATAATAAAAGAACATTTCCAAAAGCTTCATTCATCAAAAGGATGTCGCTAGATTTACCTTATTCATGAGAACCATTAATCCGGGATTCAGGCACAACTCCAACAGCCTTCTGCATTTCTACATTCTCTTCCCTAATACCATTCCCATTGACATCATCATCATCATCTGAATCCAATGTAAACTGAACCCGACCATCCAACTGCCGCATTTCCGCCCCAAGTGGCCTATATTGTGTAAAATCACCAGGAACACCATTTTTCTTACAGAAAATAGAGTAAACCCCGACAATCAAAACCACAACAAGAGCAAGATGGCAATTGAACTGCAGCGTCGCGATTGCTCGACCGCGATGATACTCGGGGTGTCCCTTACACCTCACCGTATAATTCCCTCTACTTTTCTCATGTAAAGAACATCCATGTGCTATTAAATCCGAATAAAGAGAAAACCCCATTTGAATAAACCAAGTCCCCTGTAGTATTAAACCAATTCCACGGCTCATTCTCGCATAATTATTCGATTTCAGGGTTTTCAATTCAAGAATTGTGGAAAAAACACAAACAGCAATGGGAACAAGAAGAAGATCAAAGTACCGATTCTCAATTCCACTCGGGTCTTTTCTTTGAAAGTAAAATAACACAAATTCTTCACTAAAAGCAAAGAGACACAGTAAATTGAGAATTGACGAAGGTAATTGGAATGAGGTTTTCATATTGGTCAAGAGACCCAGTACAGAATAGAGAAAGAAAAGGGCAGCGATTGCAATTACCCCTAATTGGAGGGCTAAACCCGTATTGTCTTTGGAGTTCAGAGCGTCGATTAGGGAGATTAGAGAGTTGAGGATGAAGAAGAAAGAGAAGAGAGAGGTTGCTAAGAAGGATACGGATGAAGAAATTGGTGCCGTCTTGCTTTTAATGGGTGGTAATGATTGTGATGGTGGTGTGAGTTTAAGGGCTTCGGACGATATGAGAGCTTCCCAACCGCCGATCATGATAAATCCACCGCCGGCTAAGGTATAGGTGAAGAGTCCCATAGTTGACTCTCTCTCTCTCTAGAGTTTGTTCTGTATCTATTTAGAGTTTCTGGTTGTGCGGAGGAGATCTGAAATGGGTTTGATCTGCGAGGGCGTCCCTCTCAGGCGAGCCTCTTGGTCTTGGGTTCTTTGCGGTTGAGCTCCTGTGTTTGGTCAAGAGTCAGCGGTCTGCTGTTGCGTTGTGATAATTGAAGTTGGACCTTTTCTTTTTTCGGATGGTCCCGAAGATGACAAAGTATTACAAACATTGTAATTTTGTCACCGGAATCTCAAAAGTGGCCATATCTGAATTATTAGCATGGAGAGACAAATTCTTAGTCAATTTTAAATAAAAAAAAANCTCAAAAGTGGCCATATCTGAATTATTAGCATGGAGAGACAAATTCTTAGTCAATTTTAAATAAAAAAAAAGATAAAAAATTTAATTTGGTATAAACTTTTTCAATAAACAATTTTTTTTTAAAGAAAGAGAAATTTAAGTTTAAATAAGGATAAATACAAATTTTTAAAAAAATAAAATATGATTATTTAATTTTTAAAGGAGAATATAATCTTACCGTTAAAGATTTAGATTTTAAAAAAAAAAAATCTCCCTCAATTTGAGTTTTAAAAAATATTTTCTTTCATTTAGTATGAATATGAGTTTAACATTGAATAAAATTTTTAAGAGTTCTTTTACTCTTTTATAAATTTTTTTTTTTAAAAAGGGTAAGAATTAAATATGGTCTTAGATGTTTAGTGAAGTTAATAGTATTTATGGTTAATTGCATTGAAAGTTTTTGAAGTATAAAGTTTGTCTTATTTTGGTTTCAAATATTTTAATTGCATCATTTTGATCGTTGAAATATTGAATATGTTTCTATATGGTCCTTCAAACAGACAACATCCAAATTTATAACAATTTTTAATCATAAATTTGTAATGTGATACCTAAANTTGAAGTATAAAGTTTGTCTTATTTTGGTTTCAAATATTTTAATTGCATCATTTTGGTCGTTGAAATATTGAATATGTTTCTATATAGTCCTTCAAACAGGCAACATCCAAATTTATAACAATTTTTAATCATAAATTTGTAATGTGATACCTAAATATAGTCAATAAATAATTTGGATAGCTTTTAACAAAAAATATGTAATATAGATAGCTGTTGACAAAAATTTGGGTAACTCATGATTAAAAATGTGTAATTTGTGTAGTTTTTTGACCAAAATTTGAATAAAAATTTAGTCACTGGTTATTCAAATTATTTTGTTCTCTATATTTAGGTATTACGTGACAAGTTTCAAAAATCGTTAGCAATTTAGATGTTGTCTGTTTGAGAGATTATATAGAAATATATTTAATAGTCAAGAGACTAAAATGATTCAAATTAAAATATTAGGGACTAAAATAAGACAAATTTCATATTTTGAGGATTTACATTGCAATTAACCCCAGTATTTATTAATCAAACAAATCACACTAATTTTATCCACAAATTTTGGTGTATATTTCATGGAGCGTAATATTGAACTTATTTGGAGTTGACTTTTTTCAAGTGAAAAGTCGCTCTTTGAAAATTTTTGTAAAAAAAATCAGAGTTAAAAATATTCCTTAAAATTATTTGGGGGTGTTTTTTAAAAAACTAGAAAAGTTGGAAATGTTAGTTTGGAGTGACTTTTTTGATTTTTTTTTTTTCAAAATAAAAAAAATTGCATATATGTATAGATTATACATAATAGTTATTAGAATATGAATTTTAGATTTTGTTTATTTCACTAATAATATTTTATGAATCTATAAATTTAAAAGTTATGTGAGACCCACGACAAAACTTAAAAAAGAAAAAAAAAAACCTCATAAATTCAGTTAATTGGATCAGCCTGAATAAATTTTTTTAAGTTTAAAAAAGTACTATATAAACTAGTAAAAAAATAAAAGTTCAAATAAACTTAACTAAATTTATTCTAAAATCCTTCAAACTACTTATTTGTTGTTATTCTTTTTACCCTGTTACTATGAAGATGACCAAATCATCGTCGCAGCATCGGGGTTACGTTATTCACAAAGTTCTTTAATTGTGCTTTACAAATATAATATTGCTAAAGGTATGCTCCGGAGAAATATAGCTAAATTTTTAAATAAAATATATGAGGTATATTATGATGGGATATTAATAGTGAGTTATGTCATATCATATTCGTGTTACATAAAAATTTATCTTTGATGGTACAAGAGCACATAGGATCTAAAGTGTAATAATGTGTGCATAGTTATGATCTGAATTTATTTTTTATATAGTCTGTGTGATCTACCAAAAATCGATGGAATGGACAAAAGTTTTAAGTGGTTCATCAAGTTGAACACCTCGACTAGTCGACTGTAAATAATCTCTTATTCCTACGTTTTTGGTATTTGTTTGAGAAAGAAGAAAGAGCAATTACGCAAGGTTCGATCTCCTTTTCTTATTAGGGGGTCTCTCTTATTTATATCATCAAAGGTTTTTGTACTTATTCAAGATTATGTGATTTCTTCAATTTGTTGGAATTATTTAGAAAATATTTAGTCGTAAGAGAAAATTCTAACTGATGTCCACGTGAGTTAGAAGTGATGAGATAACATTGTTGAGACGGTACCTTACTTCCTAAATTAGGATTGACTTGTTATCCTTCTCTTCGTTTTTTTGTGTCTAGTAACTAGATTCGAGCGTGTGTGTGATGGTAGCCAAACTACTTGGATATCACTCGGTGATTTAAGAATTGGTATACTTATGTTTGATGACTCAACCTAGTAGTGAAACTTAATAATACTCAACTGTAATGAATTAAGTTAAGTTATGATTTATTGTATCATCAATATTCAAATTATTTATTTGTTTAAGCTGATAAAATTAAAAAAACTTTAATTCCGTATTCACTAATTATAGATCAACCCACTTTCGTATCTAAAATTATTTGCCCATCTCGACGCAGAAACAGGTCGTTACATGTGGGCCAAACACAGATAAGATAAAGCTTAAGCTTAAAAAAAAAAAAGGATCGACTTTAAAACGGATTGATGCTCAACCATGCCGCGGGGCCCGCATTTTGTTCCTCCCTCGCCCGCTTTTTAACTCCTTCCCATACCCTCTGCAACTCGGTGTAGGATATAAATCAGAGACCAACTATCGGGTATGTAATAGTTGCCCTGTTATTGAGTCAAAACCTCTGTAGTCTCCACAGTACAACTCTTCAGAGTAAGAAACTCATACTTTGTCCTGTACCCCGTTTCAGAGGATAGAACCCTGTCTTTGTCTTCTTCGCCTAGGATTAGGTAAGAAACTTGAACGACCACACAATCTTACCGTTTCGCTGTGCCAACTTTACTCAAAAGCATAAGGACTCATGTGTGAGACGTGGTTATTAGTTGGTTTGTGTATTAATTTGACCTAATTAATAAGATTTTATTTGTTTAAAATGAACTTAAAAAATTAAATATACTTTTCTAATATTATAAAGATTGCTTTTAATATTGCATTGAAATTTCTTTTTTGATAAAAAGATTAGTTTGGTAAGTTCCTGCAGTTAATGTTAGTCATTTTTTTTTGATCTAACGGTTGACATTAAANTTTGATAAAAAGATTAGTTTGGTAAGTTCCTGCAGTTAATGTTAGTCATTTTTTTTTTGATCTAACGGTTGACATTAAAATATATATATATATATATGTGGATACTCTATGTATATAAATACTTGGGCAGCTCTTGAGTAGTACAGTTCATCTTCATCGGTATTCAAAGGAAGAAAATGAGAATCAAAGAGGTCTATGTGTATATGTTTAGTTTGGTCGTCGTGTTGTGGATCTTCCGAAATTCGGTTCAGGGACGCTCTCTCCCATTATCTCTCCCCAGACCCCTCCCTGATAGTGCTGCTGCCTTCGCTCGATGGTTGGTCTCTGAGTCTTCCTGGGGTGTCCTCAAGTATGAACTCTCTCTCTCTCTCTCTCTCTCATGCNTCGTCGTGTTGTGGATCTTCCGAAATTCGGTTCAGGGACGCTCTCTCCCATTATCTCTCCCCAGACCCCTCCCTGATAGTGCTGCTGCCTTCGCTAGATGGTTGGTCTCTGAGTCTTCCTGGGGTGTCCTCAAGTATGAACTCTCTCTCTCTCTCTCTCTCTCTCTCTCTCTCTCTCTCTCTCTCATGTTCATGTTAATTTGACTTCTTGGTTTCTTTATTATGTTAATTACCAGTTCTGAATCGAAAACGGTTGTGCTTGAATGCAAGGGATTTTAGGGATATGCGAATTTCTTGTTTTTCTTTCCGATTGAACAGCCTTGATATGGCTTCTAGATAAGAGAGAACAAGTAATATATGGATTTGAAAAGTTCAACGATTGATAAAGGCATATGCCAGTTTAATTACTATAAGATATTGACAGAGAGCTTTGCAGGCCTTTAGCAAATCTTTGAATTTCTGATATGATACATGCTTTTGCGTTTGCTGCTTAAATATTATCGAAATAGAAACTCATATGGTCATTTTATTTTTGCAGTACCATCGCAGGTGATTTGGGAGGAGCACCTTTTGGGTATGTTTTGTATAATTCTCTTAAAGGCTCTTCTGACTATCAAGCGGCACATGATCATTGTTATTAGGAATGTATTATTTAGAGTATATTCACAATATTATGAATGTGTCATTAATAATACATTCCTAATAATTGTCGCATTAACTTACAGGTGTAATATGTTGTGCAATTATAAGAACAGTATGCATTCAGACTTCTTACAAATACTATATGAAAGTGAATCAAACAAGTCAATCAAGACCTAAGTGTATTTTTGTTATTTTATTCTGAAGTTATTGTACGTGAGGAATATATTGTGATTTGATGGCAATTGAAGCCAGAGCAAAGATGGATGATTGCACACGTCCCGAGTTTGCATTATGGCAAGGCACCCAAAGGCTGGTGGTGGCATTTGCCACCACTCGACCCATTCTGAGTCTATGATCGATGTTTTTTAAACAGTGGCACATTTTCACCTTAGACTTAAAACTAGAAGGCCTTGATGTACTGTCTAGAGGTTCAGATTCCTCGAGATGCAACATGCTGATCCAGCTGAACTAGTGTGCTTACAATGCATTACTAACTCTTTCTTGTTGTCTGATTTGAGGCCTTTATTTCCAATGTTGGGTGGTGGACTGAGAGAAGAGAGGAGTGAAGTTGGTGGGAGTAGCCTCGAGTCCTGAACTTTCTGAAAAAGTCGCACCACCAAAATTAGTTTATAAAGCCAGTTTTTCTGTTTCATTAATGATCACATCTTATCTTCGAATTGACCAAAAGGTTTTACACCTGACTATTGCTTGCAATACTAGTAGCCAGAATTTGTTATGGTATTCTTGTGTTCTCCATTCTTATGTATCACTCAACCAAAATATCTAAAGACTAAATACCATGCAGAAATGTGGTTTCATTTAGTGATGGGCTACCCGACAAAGGCAGTGGCATCCCATATTTTTATCTAACTACCCTGGATCCAACTGCACGTTATGCATTGAAAGACCAGAGATCATCATTCACAGTCAGTGAGTACCCTATTGGGACTTGTGGCAAGACGGACCCTGAGAACCCCACTTGTTCAAAAATTACACTCACAGGAAAGGTGTGTTGTCCAATTAATTGTTATGTATAGTTACATTGTATGTGGAATTACAAACTTTGTTTATTGGTTTCCAATTCTCCTTTACCCTCTGTGTCATTTGTTTCCCTGGTATTAATCTATGCTTTCTTGATTTTATACAGTAATTATGCAGTTTGTTTCACTTTAACGTATTTCTGAGGACTAGTTTTAGCCAGATACAAGGTGTCTAACCACTGTTTTAACACCACTTGATGATGTGCCATTAAGGCAGACACTCCAATGGTAGCATAGAATCTAGCTATCGATTGATTTAAACTAGGATAATGCCATAGACGCAATTTGTGTGCATGTCCTGCTAGCAATGCACTTAGAGTTGCACCCTCAGCTGCTTTTTTTGATTTTTCTAGGCAACTTAAATTTTGGGAAGTTGACACTGCAAATTTTTTGACCTTCTTAAGAATGTGCACTCTTTAATCTGTAGTGTTCAAAAATTGACACAGGCCTTAATGTGGGAAAGTATTGATCCCCTTCTTGATCGCTGTTAAGGTTAAATAGAAATGTCCGTTTAGAAACATTTTCAAAACTTCTTTTAAATTTGGTTTTTTTCTGAATTTATCAATTCATGATGGACTCAACTATGGATGCCACTTAAAGCATTTTTATCATGTTACTTTCTGGGGTAAAAATTGTCCTCGATTTTTTCTTAGTTGGATCAGAGGAATTTTTGTCAATAAATATCTCATAATGGCATAAGCAGCACATGCTGATGTATGAATATAATTTGCATGTAAAAGAAGAATAAAAAAGGCTAGGTTTTCNGTTGGATCAGAGGAATTTTTGTCAATAAATATCTCATAATGGCATAAGCAGCACATGTTGATGTATGAATATAATTTGCATGTAAAAGAAGAATAAAAAAGGCTAGGTTTTCCTGAGCTTTCTGACATTGATGAAAAGTTGGCTCTATGATGTAGTTGAAGTTAGGAAACCCTGATGAAGCTGAATATGCTCAGACTGCCTTGTTCACGAAGCATCCTGAGATGAAAGGTAATCAGACATACTCTATGTTAGCAACAGCTATTCTTTCTGTATTAATCTAACATAATCTGCCTGTTATTTACTTTCCAGCTCTTGTCAGTTTTTATACTGTCGTTCACTGATGATATTAAATCTCTCTATGATGGTTGATAGACTGGCCTAAGGATCACAACTTCCAGATCTTCAAATTGGAAGTGGAGAACATTTTTATGATTAATTGGTTTGGTGGTCCTAAACCCCTCACGGTGGATGAGTACCTGCATACCAAAATGTGAGTTTTAGAGCAAGTAACAACCATGTCTCCTGTAAGTTTGTTAGAGTAAAAGTATATTAAGCATATGAATGTAAAAGTCCTTCATGAGAATGAATAAACGTTATTTACCCATATGAAATCGTATACTACTCCCTAGCTGATGCGCTTCTTTTTACAAACATGGATCTCCATTTACAGGACATTCGTTATGTGAAATCTATTCTAATCTCCAGTTGTCTGAGCTGTGTGTGTTGCTGGACATGAAGGGGTTTAGTGAATAAAGGAACCATTTGTAAACAACATGTATCATATTTGTGTATATATATTAATACACATTATGTAAGCAATATGCTTCAGCTAATTGCTGGGGAAAGATAATCACAAACAATTACATTGTTAACGAGTCCATGCGTTTGTGATCCTTCATTATTTTCATCAATGTATATTTGGAATATGTATAAGNTTCAGACTTCTTACAAATACTATATGAAAGTGAATCAAACAAGTCAATCAAGACCTCAGTGTATTTTTGTTATTTTAATCTGAAGTTATTGTACGTGAGGAATATATTGTGATTTGATGGCAATTGAAGCCAGAGCAAAGATGGATGATTTCACACGTCCCGAGTTTGCATTATGGCAAGGCACCCAAAGGCTGGTGGTGGCATTTGCCACCACTCCACCCATTCCGAGTCTATGATCGATGTTTTTTAAACAGTGGCACATTTTCACCTTAGACTTAAAACCAGAAGGCCTAATTTACTGTCTAGAGGTTCAGATTCCTCGAGATGCAACATGCTGATCCAGCTGAACTAGTGTGCTTACAATGCATTACTAACTCTTTCTTGTTGTCTGATTTGAGGCCTTTATTTCCAATGTTGGGTGGTGGACTGAGGGAAGAGAGGAGTGAAGTTGGTGGGAGTAGCCTCGAGTCCTGAACTTTCTGAAAAAGTCGCACCACCAAAATTAGTTTATAAAGCCAGTTTTTCTGTTTCATTAATGATCACATCTTATCTTCGAATTGACCAAAAGGTTTTACACCTGACTATTGCTTGCAATACTAGTAGCCAGAATTTGTTATGGTATTCTTGTGTTCTCCATTCTTATGTATCACTCAACCAAAATATCTAAAGACTAAATACCATGCAGAAATGTGGTTTCATTTAGTGATGGGCTACCCGACAAAGGCAGTGGCATCCCATATTTTTATCTAACTACCCTGGATCCAACTGCACGTTATGCATTGAAAGACCAGAGATCATCATTCACAGTCAGTGAGTACCCTATTGGGACTTGTGGCAAGACGGACCCTGAGAACCCCACTTGTTCAAAAATTACACTCACAGGAAAGGTGTGTTGTCCAATTAACTGTTATGTATAGTTACATTGTATGTGGAATTACAAACTTTGTTTATTGGTTTCCAATTCTCCTTTACCCTCTGTGTCATTTGTTTCCCTGGTATTAATCTATGCTTTCTTGATTTTATACAGTAATTATGCAGTTTGTTTCACTTTAACGTATTTCTGAGGACTAGTTTTAGCCAGATACAAGGTGTCTAACCACTGTTTTAACACCACTTGATGATGTGCCATTAAGGCAGACACTCCAATGGTAGCATAGAATCTAGCTATCGATTGATTTAAACTAGGATAATGCCATAGACGCAATTTGTGTGCATGTCCTGCTAGCAATGCACTTAGAGTTGCACCCTCAGCTGCTTTTTTTGATTTTTCTAGGCAACTTAAATTTTGGGAAGTTGACACTGCAAATTTTTTGACCTTCTTAAGAATGTGCACTCTTTAATCTGTAGTGTTCAAAAATTGACACAGGCCTTAATGTGGGAAAGTATTGATCCCCTTCTTGATCGCTGTTAAGGTTAAATAGAAATGTCCGTTTAGAAACATTTTCAAAACTTCTTTTAAATTTGGTTTTTTTCTGAATTTATCAATTCATGATGGACTCAACTATGGATGCCACTTAAAGCATTTTTATCATGTTACTTTCTGGGGTAAAAATTGTCCTCGATTTTTTCTTAGTTGGATCAGAGGAATTTTTGTCAATAAATATCTCATAATGGCATAAGCAGCACATGTTGATGTATGAATATAATTTGCATGTAAAAGAAGAATAAAAAAGGCTAGGTTTTTCTGAGCTTTCTGACATTGATGAAAAGTTGGCTCTATGATGTAGTTGAAGTTAGGAAACCCTGATGAAGCTGAATATGCTCAGACTGCCTTGTTCACGAAGCATCCTGAGATGAAAGGTAATCAGACATACTCTATGTTAGCAACAGCTATTCTTTCTGTATTAATCTAACATAATCTGCCTGTTATTTACTTTCCAGCTCTTGTCAGTTTTTATACTGTCGTTCACTGATGATATTAAATCTCTCTATGATGGTTGATAGACTGGCCTAAGGATCACAACTTCCAGATCTTCAAATTGGAAGTGGAGAACATTTTTATGATTAATTGGTTTGGTGGTCCTAAACCCCTCACGGTGGATGAGTACCTGCATACCAAAATGTGAGTTTTAGAGCAAGTAACAACCATGTCTCCTGTAAGTTTGTTAGAGTAAAAGTATATTAAGCATATGAATGTAAAAGTCCTTCATGAGAATGAATAAACGTTATTTACCCATATGAAATCGTATACTACTCCCTAGCTGATGCGCTTCTTTTTACAAACATGGATCTCCATTTACAGGACATTCGTTATGTGAAATCTATTCTAATCTCCAGTTGTCTGAGCTGTGTGTGTTGCTGGACATGAAGGGGTTTAGTGAATAAAGGAACCATTTGTAAACAACATGTATCATATTTGTGTATATATATTAATACACATTATGTAAGCAATATGCTTCAGCTAATTGCTGGGGAAAGATAATCACAAACAATTACATTGTTAACGAGTCCATGCGTTTGTGATTCTTCATTATTTTCATCAATGTATATTTGGAATATGTATAAGATCTTTCACTTTGCTGCCCTCAAAGTCCAAGAGGACAATAATTTTTGGGGAAATTGTTTAACCATTTTTCCATGGGATATTAGTTATTATTATTATTGTTGTTGTTAGTTTTTCTTTCTCTATTTGGGATGCTGTTATATTATGTGGTTGGAATACATCTTTTTGAAAAGAAAAAAAAAATTGAACAGATCCAACAAAATTTAGTTGGGTCCATTTTTAAAAAATTGGAAGCTAATTCCATCATAGCAAGTTTGGGTGGCACAATTCAAGAGATAAATAGTATACTTATTGAACCAATTTTTTTTTTTTTTAGGTCAAGGATTGGAGGAGACAATTATGTTCGAATTCGCTAACTTAATGTCCAACACCGAGGGGCACTTAGGCCAATCGCTAACCTCATATTAAATCGTAAATTTATTGTTGAGAGTTTGGAGAATCTATTGATTCAAGACCTAATATATATGTATGAAAATTATACACACTTGAAAGTTTAAGTATATAAATGGTGAGTCCATCAATATTATATTAAAACACTTTTAACTTAATTTTTTATTGAACGAGAATTTTCACACATGCAATACTCAACTATATCATATGCATGTATGAACTACTTCGAGTTTGGCTTTGACTTAGAGTTTGATTCACCACTCTCCAAAAGTATTGTGTCCAACCCCTTCTAAATGATTCTGTTCTTTCAAGTACCAAGTTTTTATGGCTCTTTTATGAGCCATTGTATAACCACTTTTTCTTGTGTCCAGGTCTCTTCTCTTCTTATTCTTTTCATGGCTTCAATATCAAGATCCTATAATACCAAGAGTCCATCGCTTTTATTAAGAGTTATACTATTCTTTTGAGTGTTACTTAAGATTGTCAGCCAAATATACAATGTCAGAAATTTGTACCCACTTAAAAATTTAAATTAATAGATAGTGAGTATATCAACTTAGTTATCCTATGCAGATGTATTACCCCTATTATTTTGAATAAAACAATTATATATGACTTTATATAATGGAAAGTATATTAAACAAATGGGTTAATCTCATTTTGAACCTTAAAAGATCGTTCAAATCTCAATTTATACCCCAAAATATTAAAAATCTCAATCTCTACCCTCAAAGATAGAAATTTGTATAAATGTGCATCCCCAAAGATAAAAAATCTCAATTTGCACTCAAAAAATAGAAATTTGTATCAATGTACACCTAAAATTAAATTGATAAATTATCCCTAGATCCCCTTTGTCACTTAATCATTTGAACTCCTTCACATTTATGATAATTCCCCTTACATCTCATGACGTTTGTGCATGTGTAACACATAACCACTTTTCGTTGATATCTGTTAATATAATCGTTAAAAATATATGATTTTATTCTAATAAAAAAGTATAATTTCATATTACCTTTATTTTGTAGATTCGATATACTCTAAAGTTGCAAATCAAACTTACCGTTTGAATGTCTAATAAAATGTAGATATTTATATAAAAGGTAATATGAAAAATATTATATAAATATTTATATTTTATTAGACATTCAAATGGTAAACTAGATTTTGAATTTTAGAATATATTGAACCCATAAAATAAATGGTAATATGAAATTATAATTTTTTATTAGGATAGAATTATATTTTTTTTAACGGTTATATTAATAGATATCAATGAAAATGAGTTACGTGTTATACGTGCACAAATGTCATAAGATGTAAGAGTAATATTCTAAATGTGAAGAGGTCTAAATGATTAAGTGACAAGTATGAGGGGATTTATGTATAATTTATCAATTTAGTTTTAGGTGCACATTGATACAAATTTCTATCTTTGAGGGTGCAAATTGAGATTTTTTATCTTTGGGGTGCACATTGATATAAATTTCTATTTTTGAGAGTGCAAATTAAGATTTTTGATCTTTGGAGGTACATATTGATACAAATTTTTATTTTTGAGGGTGTAAATAGAAATTTTTGATCTTTGAATGTACAAATTAAAATTCAAACAATCTTTCAGAGTATAAAATGAGATTAACCCTAAACAAATTGATTTCTTATAGTTTCAGCAAAAAGATAGAAAAAAAAAAGGGCAAAAAAAAAAAAAAAAGAATGGGAAGAAGAACCAGATAATGTTGTGACCGTCGTTAATGGCGGGTAAGAAAAGCACAGAAGAAACGAACGTCAGCTACATCACTCAACACGCTGAACTGAGAAAGACGATCCAATAGAAAACTCTATCCAGTGAACTCAAATGACTTCAATGGATTGATACACACTTGCAACCCAATAGACATATTAACTCTCCAGTCTCTCTTACCCAATGTTGATGTCTCTCTGCAACCACCAAACCTCACTTCCTTCCAAAACCCTCCCAAACCCCTCACTGCCATATCGCTTCTTCTTTCCACGACCTTTACCGGAAACCCTTTTCTCACAAAACCCTAAAAAGCTCCTTAAAACCCTCCACCTTCGAATCTCCGCCTCTGCCACCACCTCCGATACCCAAACCCTCCCTCAATCCGCCATCCGAAGAATCGCCGAAAAACTCCGCAGCCTCGGCTATGTGGAAGATAACGACAAAGAAGAACCTAAAAAAAACGTAAACCCCAATACTAAACTCTCCTCCCCTGGTGAGATTTTTGTGCCATTACCTACCCAGTTGCCCAAATACCGAGTTGGGCATACAATTGACTCGAGTTGGAGCACGCCGGAGAATCCGGTGCCGGAACCGGGGTCAGGGAATGCGATACAGAGATATCATGAATTGAGAATTAAGGTTGGGAAGGAAAAAAGAGAGGAGAAGTTGAAGAAGAGAGCGGAGGAGAGAGAGAAAGTGCCGACATTGGCGGAGTTAAGGATACCGAAGGAGGAGTTGAGGAGGCTGAGGGCAATTGGGATTGGGTTGAAGACGAAGTTGAAGGTTGGGAAGGCGGGGATTACCGAGGGGATTGTGAATGGGATTCATGAAAGGTGGAGGGGGGTGGAGCTTGTGAAGATCGTTTGTGAGGATATATGTAGGTTGAACATGAAGAGGACTCATGATTTATTGGAGGTTAGATAACATTTTCTTATCTCTCTTAAAGAATATTATATACCTGAAGTATATCTCATATTGTAGTTATACTAAATGCTATGTTTATTAAGTGTATGAACTTGGTTGTAACTTGGAAGTTTATCAAGATCATGATAATATGTTATCTCAAACTGGTATCAGATATCTTTATATTGGTCTATGGATTCACTGAAATATTTGTTTTGGCATGTTTTATTTTTGTGACTGATATATTTTGGGTTGGAATGTATTTTGTTTGGATGTTCTCAGAGAAAAACTGGAGGGTTGGTTATTTGGCGGTCTGGAAGTAATATAATATTGTACAGAGGAGCTGGTTATAAGTATCCATACTTCTTCTCCGACACAAAGTCATCAAAGGGCCTTTCTGATGGTGATTTATCGAGGACGGATCGAGTAGATGACGATGGACAGCAAAGCTACTCGTATAGCACGGATATTGTCGATTCTGCTCGACCAAACTCATCAAACAAAGTGGCTCCTCCACCCCTGATAAATGGTGTAGGTTCTCCAAACAGAGTAAGATTCCAACTTCCTGGTGAGGCACAACTTGCGGAAGAAGCTGACCATCTGTTAGAGGGACTCGGCCCACGCTTTGTTGATTGGTGGGGATATGATCCTTTACCGGTTGATGCTGATCTTCTACCAGCAATTGTCCAAGGATACAGGAGACCTTTCCGGCTTCTTCCATATGGTGTGAAACCTAAACTAACAAATGACGAAGCGACAATATTAAGGAGACTTGGGCGGCCATTGCCCTGCCATTTTGTTTTGGGTAAGTGATATCTAATTGGATGACTGTAATCCATGTGCTAAATTTTCGTTACATTTGTTTTTTCTTTGTCTTAGGCAGAAACAGAAAACTTCAAGGATTAGCTGCTGCCATTGTAAAGCTTTGGGAGAAGTGTGAGATTGCAAAAATTGCAGTGAAGAGAGGAGTTCAGAATACTAACAGTCAAATGATGGCTGAAGAGCTGAAGGTATTGATAACGTAGCTATTCTTTCTTATTCAGCCAAATAGATACTGTCACTTGTATTGGGATGCCCGTGTTTAGTATTTTGTTCATGTCTGAAATCTCCAATAGAATTCATACTGTACTCACTGAACGTAGTTCAGTATATGTTCTATGTGAGTTTTGTGTTATGCGAATCATTTTAAGCACTTTGCTGGCAAGGACTCCTTTTACCAAAGATTTCTTTAGAACATTTATTTACTTGAAATTTAACCCCCTCCCCCCTCAAAAAAAAAAATACTCTTGCAGGGTCTGACAGGAGGAACATTGCTGTCACGGGATAAGGAATTCATTGTGTTTTACAGAGGAAAGGATTTCCTGCCAGCTGCAGTTTCTTCAGCAATAGAAGAACGGAGGAATTATGAAATTCACAGCGAGAACATCAGGAAAGATGATAATTCATCATTTATGCATCCACCAGACCATAAACTTGGGACTCTGTTGAGTGCTTCTGAGCATAAGCAAGACAAGGCAAATGACCACAAACATAAACTTACCCCTGAACAAAAGAAGCTAAGGTTCAAGGAAGCAGCTATAAAAACAACAAGCAGCAAGTTGTCCATTGTATGTTTTTATGAAGTTCGATTAAGTCGGCTGATTGAATCTTTTTACTTCTACTTTTACATGTGTTTCAATATCACGTTTGCACGACAGGCATTAGCCAAGAAAGCCAGGGCAGAGGAACTTTTGGCAGATCTGGAAAAGGAAGAGATCTCCCGACAACCTGAAATAGATAAAGAAGGCATCACTGAAGAAGAAAGATATATGCTGAGGAAGGTTGGCTTGAGAATGAATCCTTTTCTCCTATTGGGTGAGTTTTTTCTGTACCATAAGTGTCATAAAAAACTTAATACTAGTCGGCAAATTTTCTTCTTTCCTCGTGAGCAAATGAAGGGCATTTGAAAAACTTTTAAAACAACTGGATGTGGCGTCCAGAGAAGTAAACCTGATTAGCATTTTCTCTTTCCATGCTTAGGTAGACGAGGAGTGTTTGATGGAACCGTTGAAAACATGCACCTTCACTGGAAATATAGGGAACTTGTGAAAATAATATCTGGTGAAAGAAACATTAAAGAGGTTCACGGAATAGCGCGGAAATTAGAGGTAGAAAGTGGTGGAATATTAGTGGCAGTTGAGCGAGTCAGTAAAGGTTATGCTATCATTGTGTACCGTGGGAAGAATTACAAACGCCCTGCTTGTTTGAGGCCTCAGACACTCCTAAATAAAAGAGAAGCATTGAAGCGCTCTATAGAGGCCCAGCGTCGCGAGGTAAAGTGCACACGTGTATACTGTAGCACAAGCATTGCAGCTTGTACTTTGCTATTCATTGACCTTCCGCCACTGGTGGAAAAAAATTGAAGGTAGTTGATGCCTGCTAATTCATCCTTTCTATCTATGTGGTCATTAGGGTAGTGTGGCTGGGTTACTTTCTTTGAAAGTTATGTTGGTGTGAATTCGTCAAGTTGAGGGACCCAGCTTCCTTGGCCTGTGACCATCTTCTGGCATCTGTGGATAAATTGTGCATTATTGATATCTTTTTGTTTTTTCCTTAACATTTCCCAGTTGTGTCTTATGCTTTCTCTTTCTTGTATGATGCAGTCCTTGAAACTTCATGTTTTGAAGCTTAGCAGGAATATAGATCAATTTAAGATTCAGTTGGTGGGTTGTCTTATTTTTACATAGATTTTAGTCCATTTGTATCCATTTTATACATTAGTGTTAATTGAGTTACGTAGCTTTGGCTTGTCGCAGGCCAAAGACGAGGAGACAGGTCATATGCCGATGATCAAACAATTGAAACTTGAGTTAGTGAGTTCTCTCTTGTACTTTTTTATTTTCTCTTTGCTTTATTTTTTGATGTGTTGGCAACTTAGGGATAAGTACCAGGTCAAAGAGCTAGAGACAAACACAATGCTGTCAGGTGAGTCGAAGCGATCTAGTGCTTACCTAGTTCAGTGAGTCCTGCTTGCCATTAGCTGAATGTAGAGGTCAAGTGAGGAGCACGCTAGGCCGATGTTCAAAAGTGAAGGCCAAAATACTATCAGTGTGTGATGGTAATTATTTTTTTGTTTATAGCCCAGGTTAATGCAAATCAGAGATTCTGATGCTTGTGTATCCAATTAACTCTTACACCAGGCCAAACATATGAAATTATTAATATCAGCCTTATTCTAAAATCCATGCATTTCTGCCTATGCCTACGGTTTCTTCCCATTTAATAAGAAACTCGTATAAAAAGTTGACTATTTGAAAATGTCATTGTGATACCTCAGAGAGAGAGAGAGATAGAGAGTTACACAAGGAGGTCTATTAGTACAGAGGCTGGAAAATTTTATGGTACAATAAAAAATCCAGTATATGTGCCTACCGCTTTGATGTTGCCTTAATTTATACTGCAGTAATTTTTATTCTGTATTGGCATTAGTACTACCTTTATGCATCGCCCAGTAATGCAGGTACTCTTTTTTCAACTGTGTCCTCGTGTATTTGGTCCTTAATAATATTCCTTCTCAAATTTTTTGTAATTATGGGTTTCTTCAAAATTTACTTTGTGCGTTTCGGTTTTGGCATCGTAATTGAAGGCGACAGAAAGTCATGGTGCTGGTTTAGGTAACTCAAAGGATGTCATGGATGCTTCAAGTGATAATCTGCAAATCACTCAGCAGGCTATGCCTAGAGATTTCTCTTTTGAAAATGAGAGCAAGGAAGATACTGAGTTTGATATGACTGAACCAGGGTCTTTATCTGGATCAGCACCTAAAGACACCAATCCTTGTATGGATATGAAAGGGGAAGGTGGAGATGTTGATTCTGTAACTTGTCCTGCTGATTTTGAGGTAAAATTAAACTGATATGTTTTTTCAACTTTAAATTACTATTTTACTTTCATATATTTTAATTTGGTATATGCTACGTTGATTTTAGTCACAATTTCAGACAACCTTTTCAGCCATCAGTAATACCGAGCCTCATGTTCATGACATCAAGACCATGGAGTCTTCTGTTGATTCACCGAAAATTGAGTTAAAGCCATCAGTTGACAGTGCTGTAGAGAATGGGTCTGGTGGGATACCTTTCAGATCTGCACATCTTTCCAATAAAGAAAGGCTGCTTCTACGAAAGCAAGCCCTGAAGATGAAAAAGCGACCTGTCCTTGCTATAGGTAATATTATTGCACTTCATAACAGTCTTAACTTCTTTTTTTGACGATTCCTTTTGATTTTTTAACATTACGATTGCTGATAATTATTTTATTTGGGATATAAGGCCAGACTTATATACTACCCCCCAGAGCATTGTCCCAACTATTTGTAGTCGGCTGAAAGACTAGACTCGTGTTCTTATTGTCAATAGCTTCATGTTACATTGCTCCCATCGAAAACTTAGTTACTGGGATTTGCTCGATTTCTTGGAGGGGAATTGTCCTTGATTTGTGGATCCTAACAATCTTGTTTGGCACGATGGAAATCTGCTGATCCACCACTTTTCTGGAAGTTAAAAATGAAAAATATGAACAGAAATTATATCCTTTGCATTTGTGTATGACTTACAAAGTATGACTACTTAGTGGTTTTACAGTTATAATTTCTGCTGTTGTTACCATTTATCAGGTAAGAACAATGTCGTTAGTGGAGTTGCTAAAGCAATTAAGGCACACTTCCAGAAGCATCCTCTTGCTATAGTAAATATCAAAGGTAGAGCCCAAGGGACTTCAGTCCAGGAGGTGATTTTCAAGCTGGAGGTCCGTTTATTGAATGCTTCTTTTTGTATGTATTCTTTTAGCTTTGAATTGTTTGACTGTAAACCTATCTATTACGTGTGTTTCGGTCACAGCAAGCCACTGGTGCAGTTCTAGTCTCTCAGGAACCCAGCAAAGTCATTCTTTACAGGGGCTGGGAGTCGGGGGAAGAACCTGTCTCTGCCAACGAGAGAAATCTGAATAAATCAGCTGGCAGAGAGGGTGGAGATCCAGCAATTGTTTCTCCTGAGCTCATCTCGGCAATCAGACTTGAATGTGGATTGGAGTGTAGCTGAGAAAGAGGTGGTTCTGTAGGGTGGAACTGGAACCAAAGTTTGAGTTTTTTATGACGAAGTTTAGTTTTTTTTTTTTANTGCTGTAGAGAATGGGTCTGGTGGGATACCTTTTAGATCTGCACATCTTTCCAATAAAGAAAGGCTGCTTCTACGAAAGCAAGCCCTGAAGATGAAAAAGCGACCTGTCCTTGCTATAGGTAATATTATTGCACTTCATAACAGTCTTAACTTCTTCTTTTTTTGACGATTCCTTTTGATTTTTTAACATTACGATTGCTGATAATTATTTTATTTGGGATATAAGGCCAGACTTATATACTACCCCCCAGAGCATTGTCCCAACTATTTGTAGTCGGCTGAAAGACTAGACTCGTGTTCTTATTGTCAATAGCTTCATGTTACATTGCTCCCATCGAAAACTTAGTTACTGGGATTTGCTCGATTTCTTGGAGGGGAATTGTCCTTGATTTGTGGATCCTAACAATCTTGTTTGGCACGATGGAAATCTGCTGATCCACCACTTTTCTGGAAGTTAAAAATGAAAAATATGAACAGAAATTATATCCTTTGCATTTGTGTATGACTTACAAAGTATGACTACTTAGTGGTTTTACAGTTATAATTTCTGCTGTTGTTACCATTTATCAGGTAAGAACAATGTCGTTAGTGGAGTTGCTAAAGCAATTAAGGCACACTTCCAGAAGCATCCTCTTGCTATAGTAAATATCAAAGGTAGAGCCCAAGGGACTTCAGTCCAGGAGGTGATTTTCAAGCTGGAGGTCCGTTTATTGAATGCTTCTTTTTGTATGTATTCTTTTAGCTTTGAATTGTTTGACTGTAAACCTATCTATTACGTGTGTTTCGGTCACAGCAAGCCACTGGTGCAGTTCTAGTCTCTCAGGAACCCAGCAAAGTCATTCTTTACAGGGGCTGGGAGTCGGGGGAAGAACCTGTCTCTGCCAACGAGAGAAATCTGAATAAATCAGCTGGCAGAGAGGGTGGAGATCCAGCAATTGTTTCTCCTGAGCTCATCTCGGCAATCAGACTTGAATGTGGATTGGAGTGTAGCTGAGAAAGAGGTGGTTCTGTAGGGTGGAACTGGAACCAAAGTTTGAGTTTTTTATGACGAAGTTTAGTTTTTTTTTTTTAATTTCTTTTTTAAATCAGTGCAGGATATTACATGGTTTAGTAGGGTCGGTGTTGTAAACTAGTGAACTCGTTAAATCCCCATCAAATGAATAGATTAATATGATTTTGGCAAAATACAACGAACACCTTAAACGTGATTTATAAACAATTTAACTTTGGTACGAATCAAATATGATACGGATTCAACTATACACAATTAAAAATAGGTTAAATTATATTGAATTATTATTTTTATCTTACTTTGTACCCTTAATTATAAATTTTTTATATTGTAACTTAAAGTATTAATTTTATTTTATACTATTCTGATAGATAATGACCGTCATTTTTTGACAATAAATACACATGTGAGTGGTCTATATTGCAATTGTTTATTCTATCAAAAATTAAGAAAAATATTCATTTATGACTTTATCCTTCATTTCTAAATTTTCTTTTTTTGGTTGATTTATTTTTCCTCAGCAATCATTTGATTTAAAAAAAGATAAAATAAAGTGTTATTAGGCACTTGCTGGGAACCCTTTTTGAGGTTTTCTTCTCCCATTTGACAGATTTTTAAATTTGTTGTTATTTATTAGAATGATATGCAATAAACTTGACATTTTAAAGTGTAATATAATAAATTTTATAGTTGAGGGTGTAAAGTGAAAATAAAGATAATAGTTTAGAGGGAAAAAATGTAATTTACTCTTAAAATAGGCCAGACTTATGTGGAGCAGCCTTATGAATCAAACTCCCAGCTCCTACCTTAATCGCCGTTTGCAAAAATCTTCCTAGTTGGAAGGAAATTTAACGAGTCCGACCCGGTGACACCACCGTAACGGAGTGAACTGGTTGTGTGTTTACTGAGCAGGGGAGGGAAACGAGTGGCTCTGCAATTCTCTTCCACCGGCCCAATATCGCTGTTATTCTCAACGGGTGACGCTCATTCCCTTTTGAATTAATTTCTTCCTCTCATTCAAATCTTTTTTACATAAATATATATGCAGTTACTCATAAATGTGTGAGGAGTCGGAGATTTTTGTGTTGTAGTGTTGAACGAACAATTGTAATTAAACCGAACTATGGCCATGAGAGCTCTTCAGGTGTCTACCTCCTTCGCCACCCCTTCTCGCCGCCCTTCCCACCACCGCCGCGTCACCCTTTCCAAAGGTAAAGCACAGACCTACCCACCATGTACTCCGATTCAGAACTCAAATTTATTTCTACCTTCGTTCATTTTCTTTTAAATTTTCAGAGCAATTTTTCATTCAAAAACCCTAAATTTCTTGTTTGTATATGACGTAGTATGCTCAATTTTTCGTCTATTATGTTCATTTGCAAGTTTTCTGTATCTAAGACTCAGTATTTGTATGTAATGTCATCTGCAAAAAATAGGAACGGGAGGTAATAATGTGTTACAGTTTTTTAATTGATGTAAGAATTTAATATTGGTGTCCTCTCAGTGGAACCATCAGACAAGTTCGTTGAAATAGTGAGGAAGTTCTCGGAACAGTATGCTCGTAGGTCGAATACATTGACAAAGGGGTCATTTCCGTTGTTATCAAGATCTTTCTTTTATTTATGCATTGCCAAAGTGTGGGAGTTCAAACCTTCCTATGATTACACTGTGAACAAAATTTACTGGCTTGATTTTATTTAAGTTTGGATGTTCAAAATTTTTTAAAATGCCTGCACCTACTGTGGTTCTCGGATCATTGTACAAATCCTCGAATTGGAGGGGAAATGAACTATTTTGAAGACCTTTGTTTTGTAATCAATTTTTTTTTTATTGGTAAAGAGTGACCTAGCATAATCAGCTCAAACCAATCAAATATGGCCTCTTTAAACAGTGTGATCATGTTAACTTGACCTTTTTTCAGTTAAGTGTTAGTCTTTATGAGCTTTTGAGGGAACACTAGCATTTGGAACTTAATGGGCATGTTAATTGTCCAAAAGATAGCATGAGGACATNACAGTGTGATCATGTTAACTTGACCTTTTTTCAGTTAAGTGTTAGTCTTTATGAGCTTTTGAGGGAACCTAGCATTTGGAACTTAATGGGCATGTTAATTGTCCAAAAGATAGCATGAGGACATACTATGGTTAGGGTCCTCCTCTGCCCCTCCATAGTTTGGACCCTGAACTTGTTTATGGTAGTCATTAGAAGTTCAAATGGGGCAAAAGTATATTTAGGTGAATTAGTTGAACCATAGAGTGACGCGAGAAGGCTGTTACATTGTGGACTGAACACTAAGGGTTAAAGTCGCAGGAACAACTTGTGGCCATGCATTACCTTCNTTGGACCCTGAACTTGTTTATGGTAGTCATTAGAAGTTCAAATGGGGCAAAAGTATATTGAGGTGAATTAGTTGAACCATAGAGTGACGCGAGAAGGCTGTTACATTGTGGACTGAACACTAAGGGTTAAAGTCGCAGGAACAACTTGTGGCCATGCATTACCTTCCCCAGACCATGCATTGATGGCCACCTCATGCACTGAACAATTTTTTTTGACAATTTGTTGTTTCTATGTTTAACATGGCGTGTGCTGGTAGACAATATGATGCATTAGTAAAGAATATTGAATTCTTGAAATTTGAAGGTAAGAACTAAGAAATATGTAGAAAATGCAAAGTGCAAGGCGTGTGGTGTTGTTATTTCAACTGGGAAGCATGGGGCACAAAGTGGAATAGGGTTGACCGGGAGTAGAAGAACTTAAAAAGGATAAGGGGCATCCATTTATGGAGTGTTTGAGTTTTCAAGATCTGTGGTTACCTAATTTAGAATTGGAATAAGTTGCTTTTTCAAAAGGTAATGATAGGAACATTGGTGATTCGGGTTTTTCACATGTCAAATTTTTGTGGAACCAATGTTGCGCTATTACTTAAAAACATTTGTGTTAAATTTGCTATTTGAATTTGTAAATAGTTGGAAGTCAGCGATGGCCTAACGGCTCCATCGCTTGCCGTTGGACTGATAGATCGCGTGTTCGAACTTCATTAGCCCCCTACTCTGAAAAAAAAAATAAAAATTGAATTTGTAAATAGTGGGAGTGAATTGAGTTGATAGGTTGATTACTAAAACAATCATTTTGCTAGGTTTTGAAATGTTGTAGGGTTACCAAAAATTCCTATTCCATACTTGAGGCTGTTATTCTCTTAGTAAATGGAGTGTGTTAACATTATTATTTATTTTGTACATCATCAGTCTCTTTCTTCTGAGGGTTCTTCTAAATTCCACAAATACCAATTCAATGTAGCAAGTGATAATGCNGCTTTTTCAAAAGGTAATGATAGGAACATTGGTGATTCGGGTTTTTCACATGTCAAATTTTTGTGGAACCAATGTTGCACTATTACTTAAAAACATTTGTGTTAAATTTGCTATTTGAATTTGTAAATAGCTGGAAGTCAGCGATGGCCTAACGGCTCCATCGCTTGCCGTTGGACTGATAGATCGCAGGTTCGAACTTCATTAGCCCCCTCCCCTGAAAAAAAAAATAAAAATTGAATTTGTAAATAGTGGGAGTGAATTGAGTTGATAGGTTGATTACTAAAACAATCATTTTGCTAGGTTTTGAAATGTTGTAGGGTTACCAAAAATTCCTATTCCATACTTGAGGCTGTTATTCTCTTAGTAAATGGAGTGTGTTAACATTATTATTTATTTTGTACATCATCAGTCTCTTTCTTCTGAGGGTTCTTCTAAATTCCACAAATACCAATTCAATGTAGCAAGTGATAATGCACAAATTGATATTGCGCAAAATCAACAGTCGAGTATATGTAATGGTGCAATTAATGAGCAATAAATAGACAATCAATGACAAAACAGTAAAGAAAAGCAAAACACACAGATTTATAGTGGTTCGGTCCGGGTGACCTATTTCACTCTCGAGAATGGCAGCGGTCGCCGGGGATGTTTTATTGATGAATAAAGTCTCCGAGAGAGTATGTTCCGGGAGTATTACAATGGTGAAAGAGAGAAGCAATGTGTGTAGGGAGGTGTAGTGTGTGTAGAGATCTCAAAGTGTAGAGGCCTCAAAGTCATAAGGTCATGCCCTCTATGTGGAGAGGGCTTACATTATATAGGTTTAGTGAGGCGGTGAAGTGAGGCAGTCACTACTTTTTGGTAAGTACAATTATAGTAGGATTAAATTTCCATGATGCGTATCCCAATAACCTTATCACGTGTTCCNAGGTCATGCCCTCTATGTGGAGAGGGCTTACATTATATAGGTTTAGTGAGGCAGTCACTACTTTTTGGTAAGTACAGTTATAGTAGGATTAAATTTCCATGATGCGTATCCCAATAACCTTATCACGTGTTCCTATACCTTCGGAAGGAGGATCCCAAGCTGGGCCGGACTAAGTTGAAGTGGCAAAGTGAGGAGGACGAAGAGGAGTTAGGGGAGACTAGCCCTTGGACGGCGCCAAGGGCTTGGGTGGGTCGGCGCCCCCTTGGGTGTGTCCTTCGGGCGTTGGTAACTTGGACCCTTTTTGGTGCATTGGGCCTTGAGCTCTTTTCTAGGTATTGATGATTTGGGCTCCTCTTGATTTATTTTTATTGGGGTCTGGCCCAGTTGATTTTGGGCTCATCATCAAGAATACATCAAGAACTCTTTTGGTATGTAAGCAAGGATTAGCAGACCATAAGGATTCGTTGGGTGCCCCACTTTGCCCTTGCAGGTAAATATTCAGTTTTTGACCATTTCCTGGACTGGAATTCTAGTCTTTGTTTCATGTAAATATCAAATAGCTTTGTAGTATTATCGTTACTTTGTTCTGGGGCCAGGTATCAGGCACTACGACGACAAAGCTGTTGAGGCACAGCAGGGTTTTTGGAACTGGCCATGTGTTCCCAAGAGAGAGAGGTACAAAGTATTGAGATCTTTTATCTGAAGATAGATGATGAATTTTATGAGTTATCCCCCAAGCTTTATTCTTAAATGTGTGTTTTGGTATTCATTTAAGCTAAACTAATATGTGGAAAAAATTGCATCATATAGAGAAGCCATTTATCAAGTCTGGTATACCCAGGATGCTTAAGCACCGTATGCGGCTAGATAGGCACCCAGTTGCCTGCCTATGCAAGATGTTGGGGCAGCACTTTTAAGGCATTACTAAATTTTAGTTATGAATGCTGCTAAGCTTTTGATAATCTAAATTGGCGACCTAAATTCTCACTGCTGGACTATTGGTTCGAATTAGGCAACATTTAGGGCTTATTATGGTTGTATGACCATGTCCTAGTTTTATAAGTGCCATATAAATTGGAAGTAATGTTGGTTCCCATATGTTGGTTCCTTGTGTGAATTTTACTTCTAGAGAGCATTGCCTTTGCCAGGGAGTATGTTTATTTTAGTATAGTTTCTTTTTAACTTGTCTTTCATGGTCTTTAATTTACAATTTCCTTTACAGGAAAGAGTGCCACTGCATGCTTTTTCTCACATCTGACAATGATTTCGCTGGCAATGAACAGGTAACATTGTATCCTATCTTTGTTTCCACCAAGTTTAGTATGAACTTTGGTCCCACGTATAAGATATAATATATAAAGCAGATTGCACAGTTGCAGAGAGAGAATCATAACAAATAAACTTATGATTATGCAGACACTATATCTGTGATTATTGTTTATGGAGTTTAGTTTCTGCTAATATATCTTTATGTGTTTTGCAATGGAGACGATTGCCTTGGAAGAAATCCAGAAAACAACAGCAAATATGTAATGCATTGGCGCATGTACGTACTTTTTTTATTTAGAATAACTTTAGATCCTTTTTCTATTTTGTCTTCATTTAATTGAAGTGTGTTCTTTGAGCTTGTTTGTTGTTTGGTTGGAATTGGATTCTTGCCTAATGTCCCTTACTCCATACAGTCATCGCATTCTCACCATAGATCTATCTCCATGGTCCATCATAATTTAGTGTTTGTTTAGCTTTGGCTCCATCTGGTACTTGGAACGCATGGGAGGGGAAATTTAGTCATATCATTGAACCTCAGCCTGAGACATGGATGCCACCTCGGCAGCTTTTATCTAGAATTCCTAGCTACATGTTCAGTATAGTCATGAAAATTTAGGTATAGTTTGGTAATGCTTGATTGATTTATTTATTTTTTGGGCTGAGTCTAAATGGGCATAAACAACAACCGCAAAACAATAGAAGATAGGGAATTTTATCTCCATTATACTTTTTATCGTGGTAGAAGAATCAGTGCAAATTTGAGAGCAAGTGCACAAACAAATATTGGATTGTCACACTCAAATTCCGAAAGTGAAACATAGTTTTTATGTTCTATTAGGCAAACAACATGTACTCGGCAAGTGTACAAAACAAATACTGGATTATCACAAGTTCTGAGAGCTCAAGATGGTTTTTTTTCTTAGGCGAGCAACATGGTCTCACACTAAGCATAGCTCCGGTAACCGTTCCTCATAAAATCAGTCAACCAAGAATTATATGAAGCTCCAGTGAGTTTTTCATACTCTCTCCACAACTTCATGAAACTGTTTTGCCCTAAGAAAATCTCAGGGGAAACTGCTAAGTTTTCTATCGAACCTTTCATGTACCTCTCAAACTGAAGCAGATTTTGCGTTGCTGACTTTCTGTTTTCTGTGCTACTTGTTCCATCCTTCAACCCTTCGCATGAAATCATAGCCTCCTCCACATGTGCCCAAAAACAAGAATCCTCAGTCCGACTACAAGCTTTGCTTCTCGGTTCCATGGCCGGTTTGTCTTTGTTCACCCACTTCTCCAATAGTATGTAATGCTCAGCCCTTCCATGCTTCAGGTAGTCTTTTTTGCCGGCATTATAGTACTCGGCTATATCGAGCGGTTCGATAAGCCTCCTACAGTTATTCCCTGAATAGAGCCCAGTCCGAAAAGGAGCCCACTCCTTCTGAGGTATTTGCTTCATTTCTTCAACCATTTTTTCCCAGTACTCCGACAGTTCGTCCTTGTGCTTGGCAATTTTTTCTTTCTCTCTGATATCCTCCGCACGTCTGCGTCGTGCATATTTATAGCTGTCATAGTAACCTCCTTGTTCTTCTGTGTCCTTTATGTACCATTTGAGGTACATCATCTTTATTTTTACGTCTTTCAGTCTTTTAGAAGGATCAAAAGGCTTTCTCCTGCGTATCTGAATGTTCTCTCCTTGAATTTCTGTGATCAGTGCTTTCACTACATTGCTCTCCTGCTGTTGCTGCCATGATTTGCAGACTAACGAGGTAAGGTACTCGAAAGTGTTTCGCATCTTTTTATCATAGACTTAACCTGATAATGCTTTAACATTTTGTCATTCTAAGGAAAGAATGAAATTGTTCTAGGCTATCTATATGTTGCTTTTGTTATCTTCTCCTCATGCTTTTCAAGGATCAAAATTTTATATCGGCGCATAATTTTGATTAAATCAGAAATGGAAACATTCGGAAAATATTTTAGAGATGCTTTGGAGACAGAACAGAAACATAAATGTTTGATGTTTGATCTCGAAACCTTGGGAACTCCTTGCAAAACATAAGGATTTTGATATTTGATTGCAATTTAGTATCTACCAAATCGGAACGTTTTGTTTGTTTTTGTGGAAGCGAAGCTAAATTTTGATCCTTTTGACAGATTGAAACTTATTATTTGATCGTACATGAATCAACTGAATTACCTGACTTCTAATAACTCCAATTGCTTGTAGTTGTAAGATGATTCCTGCTCGAAGTGGATTGATACCACAATCACCCAGTGATGAAATTCCTCTGTAGATTGCCCTATTTTTCAGATTTTCTAAAGTCTTCCCATAAATTTGCATGATCTTATCAGGATCTTGGTTTTNCCATATGTTGGTTCCTTGTGTGAATTTTACTTCTAGAGAGCATTGCCTTTGCCAGGGAGTATGTTTATTTTAGNCTAGTGTGAATTTTACTTCTAGAGAGCATTGCCTTTGCCAGGGAGTATGTTTATTTTAGTATAGTTTCTTTTTAACTTGTCTTTCATGGTCTTTAATTTACAATTTCCTTTACAGGAAAGAGTGCCACTGCATGCTTTTTCTCACATCTGACAATGATTTCGCTGGCAATGAACAGGTAACATTGTATCCTATCTTTGTTTCCACCAAGTTTAGTATGAACTTTGGTCCCACGTATAAGATATAATATATAAAGCAGATTGCACAGTTGCAGAGAGAGAATCATAACAAATAAACTTATGATTATGCAGACACTATATCTGTGATTATTGTTTATGGAGTTTAGTTTCTGCTAATATATCTTTATGTGTTTTGCAATGGAGACGATTGCCTTGGAAGAAATCCAGAAAACAACAGCAAATATGTAATGCATTGGCGCATGTACGTACTTTTTTTATTTAGAATAACTTTAGATCCTTTTTCTATTTTGTCTTCATTTAATTGAAGTGTGTTCTTTGAGCTTGTTTGTTGTTTGGTTGGAATTGGATTCTTGCCTAATGTCCCTTACTCCATACAGTCATCGCATTCTCACCATAGATCTATCTCCATGGTCCATCATAATTTAGTGTTTGTTTAGCTTTGGCTCCATCTGGTACTTGGAACGCATGGGAGGGGAAATTTAGTCATATCATTGAACCTCAGCCTGAGACATGGATGCCACCTCGGCAGCTTTTATCTAGAATTCCTAGCTACATGTTCAGTATAGTCATGAAAATTTAGGTATAGTTTGGTAATGCTTGATTGATTTATTTATTTTTTGGGCTGAGTCTAAATGGGCATAAACAACAACCGCAAAACAATAGAAGATAGGGAATTTTATCTCCATTATACTTTTTATCGTGGTAGAAGAATCAGTGCAAATTTGAGAGCAAGTGCACAAACAAATATTGGATTGTCACACTCAAATTCTGAAAGTGAAACATAGTTTTTATGTTCTATTAGGCAAACAACATGTACTCGGCAAGTGTACAAAACAAATACTGGATTATCACAAGTTCTGAGAGCTCAAGATGGTTTTTTTTCTTAGGCGAGCAACATGGTCTCACACTAAGCATAGCTCCGGTAACCGTTCCTCATAAAATCAGTCAACCAAGAATTATATGAAGCTCCAGTGAGTTTTTCATACTCTCTCCACAACTTCATGAAACTGCTTTGCCCTAAGAAAATCTCAGGGGAAACTGCTAAGTTTTCTATCGAACCTTTCATGTACCTCTCAAACTGAAGCAGATTTTGCGTTGCTGACTTTCTGTTTTCTGTGCTACTTGTTCCATCCTTCAACCCTTCGCATGAAATCATAGCCTCCTCCACATGTGCCCAAAAACAAGAATCCTCAGTCCGACTACAAGCTTTGCTTCTCGGTTCCATGGCCGGTTTGTCTTTGTTCACCCACTTCTCCAATAGTATGTAATGCTCAGCCCTTCCATGCTTCAGGTAGTCTTTTTTGCCGGCATTATAGTACTCGGCTATATCGAGCGGTTCGATAAGCCTCCTACAGTTATTCCCTGAATAGAGCCCAGTCCGAAAAGGAGCCCACTCCTTCTGAGGTATTTGCTTCATTTCTTCAACCATTTTTTCCCAGTACTCCGACAGTTCGTCCTTGTGCTTGGCAATTTTTTCTTTCTCTCTGATATCCTCCGCACGTCTGCGTCGTGCATATTTATAGCTGTCATAGTAACCTCCTTGTTCTTCTGTGTCCTTTATGTACCATTCGAGGTACATCATCTTTATTTTTACGTCTTTCAGTCTTTTAGAAGGATCAAAAGGCTTTCTCCTGCGTATCTGAATGTTCTCTCCTTGAATTTCTGTGATCAGTGCTTTCACTACATTGCTCTCCTGCTGTTGCTGCCATGATTTGCAGACTAACGAGGTAAGGTACTCGAAAGTGTTTCGCATCTTTTTATCATAGACTTAACCTGATAATGCTTTAACATTTTGTCATTCTAAGGAAAGAATGAAATTGTTCTAGGCTATCTATATGTTGCTTTTGTTATCTTCTCCTCATGCTTTTCAAGGATCAAAATTTTATATCGGCGCATAATTTTGATTAAATCAGAAATGGAAACATTCGGAAAATATTTTAGAGATGCTATGGAGAACAGAAACATAAATGTTTGATGTTTGATCTCGAAACCTTGGGAACTCCTTGCAAAACATTAGGATTTTGATATTTGATTGCAATTTAGTATCTACCAAATCGGAACGTTTTGTTTGTTTTTGTGGAAGCGAAGCTAAATTTTGATCCTTTTGACAGATTGAAACTTATTATTTGATCGTACATGAATCAACTGAATTACCTGACTTCTAATAACTCCAATTGCTTGTAGTTGTAAGATGATTCCTGCTCGAAGTGGATTGATACCACAATCACCCAGTGATGAAATTCCTCTGTAGATTGCCCTATTTTTCAGATTTTCTAAAGTCTTCCCATAAATTTGCATGATCTTATCAGGATCTTGGTTTTCAACACTCTCCAAGCTGCATGCCAACATTAGTTTCAAAATAGATTCGGATTCCTTGAAACAAGCACAACTTGATTCTGAGCACAAAAGGAATGAACCAAATGGTTTATAGGTACTAGTCTGAGAGCTCGAATCCGAAGCAATGGCAGTGATAGATGAGATGAAGGATTTAGGAACAGGGTCAAGGTTTGAGACCAGGTGCAGAAAGCAGGAATTCCATTTGCGGCGTTCCGATATAGCTCCTTGGAAGTGACTGTCACCAAGGAGGGGAGCCCCAAAAGTGATGCAAAGAGGGTGCTTTGTGGCCTCTGGGGGCATGCTGTCAAGGAGCCAAAAGGTGAAGAGAGAAGCAATGGATCCCCCAAGAGAGTGCCCAGTGATAATTAGTGGAGTGGAATTGCCAAACTGCAATAGAAACACAATTGAATGACACAAAACCATACGGATGCCAATCAAGTTGTTTCATGTTTGAGTCTTGTTATTTTAGTATCATGTATTAAACTTTAAAATATCCGTTTAGTTCATTGTGCTAGATGTCCTGATACTAGCTAGCTCAGCATGTTGATTAATTGTGTCATCATCCTTGGATTGACATCTAGAGACATATTTGTTATTCATGTTAATAGACAATTACATTTTATATTTGTATCAAAAACTAATCAATCATAACCTGTATGTTTTTTTCACATTCCTCATATAGAAAGTTAATACCTATACAAGTGCTAATGCAATGCACAGGAATAATTTGTTTAATTTGTCTGCTAAAGGAAGGAAAAGGTGCAGAGCTTCAAGAAGGAAGAAGAAGTCTTCTATCTTTATCTATTGGCNCGTAACCTGTATATTTTTTTCAGATTCCTCATATAGAAAGTTAATACCTATACAAGTGCTAATGCAATGCACAGGAATANTCTCTGATATCCTCCGCACGTCTGCGTCGTGCATATTTATAGCTGTCATAGTAACCTCCTTGTTCTTCTGTGTCCTTTATGTACCATTCGAGGTACATCATCTTTATTTTTACGTCTTTCAGTCTTTTAGAAGGATCAAAAGGCTNCGCACGTCTGCATCGTGCATATTTATAGCTGTCATAGTAACCTCCTTGTTCTTCTGTGTCCTTTATGTACCATTTGAGGTACATCATCTTTATTTTTACGTCTTTCAGTCTTTTAGAAGGATCAAAAGGCTTTCTCCTGCGTATCTGAATGTTCTCTCCTTGAATTTCTGTGATCNTAATTTGTTTAATTTGTCTGCTAAAGGAAGGAAAAGGTGCAGAGCTTCAAGAAGGAAGAAGAAGTCTTCTATCTTTATCTATTGGCTTTTCAAGAACGCTTTGGATTGTTATGATAATTACAGCCCATGCCATCGTGCCTTATGCCTATAAATAGGCATTGCATTCTTCAGTTTCAAGCATCCGAAGTTCACTCCACATTCAGCGATTGTAAGGGGAGTTCTATTTTCGAGTGGTGGGGTTACTCAATTTTGTTCAATGGTGACAAAGGTGATCGGATCACACCTTGTGGACATAGGCAAGAATTTTTCCGAACCACATAAATATCGTTATTTGTTTAATTATTTTCTTGTCATTGTGTTAACTCAATTGCTGCGAGTAAATGCTGAGAGAGAGAGAGAGAGACCTGGTTTTTGAGGCGAGATAGCTCATCATACAAAGAAGCGAAAAGGGTTACTGCAGCTTCGTTAATGGAGAAGGATCGGTTGAGTTTGGTACAGAGAAATTCAGAGAGTGGAAATTGAACAAACCCTTTGAGAGCTTCCGATGAAACAAATTCTCCTTTAAGATGACGAATAGTACAAGTGGGTGAGGACACAAATGCTATAGTGGTCCCCTTAGAAGGATGCTGATAAATTTTACATTTAACAGAAATGGGCAAGTTTAGGTCTCTTGAATCGAGTTCTCTGTGCAGGTCAACAATTGCTTCCCATGAATGATGGAGGTGGTCTAAGCTTGCCACTAGATTTGACACTTCCACTCCACTCCTGAACCTGCAACCAATGATTTGGTCCGAAAGTAAGAGGTAATGATGTTGGGTTTATTTTTTATATTATGATCAGGAATGATATAAACATAAAAAAAGGCAGTTCAATGCATGATGGGGTTGTATATGAAAATCTAAATCATAAAACATGAAATACAAAGAGATTGAAATTTGTTACAGAACTGGTCCATCTTCTCAACTTAGTAAAATCCCCTTGGAAACAGAGCTAATAGTATCAAGAAATGGCTGTTTGAGATGACAAAACAAGAATCAGTTATATAAAGGTCCAAAGTAGTTTATAAGTCAACTTAGGCGTATAAATTAATTTGTCAAGGAAATTCCCCAGTGCTCGTACGTGGGTCCTTCAATTATTGTTTTATCTTTGTTTTTGTTTTTAAGATGTGTTTAAGGATACATTTTCCTTGATTAATAAATTGTACTCACNACGCTTTGGATTGTTATGATAATTACAGCCCATGCCATCGTGCCTTATGCCTATAAATAGGCATTGCATTCTTCAGTTTCAAGCATCCGAAGTTCACTCCACATTCAGCGATTGTAAGGGGAGTTCTATTTTCGAGTGGTGGGGTTACTCAATTTTGTTCAATGGTGACAAAGGTGATCGGATCACACCTTGTGGACATAGGCAAGAATTTTTCCGAACCNATGCTTTGGATTGTCATGATAATTACAGCCCATGCCATCGTGCCTTATGCCTATAAATAGGCGTTGCATTCTTCAGTTTCAAGCATCCGAAGGTCACTCCACATTCAGCGATTGTAAGGGGAGTTCTATTTTCGAGTGGTGGGGTTACTATTCAATAGTGACAAAGGTGATCGGATCACACCTTGTGGACATAGGCAAGAATTTTTCCGAACCACATAAATATCGTTATTTGTTTAATTATTTTCTTGTCATTGTGTTAACTCAATTGCTGCGAGTAAATGCTGAGAGAGAGAGAGAGAGACCTGGTTTTTGAGGCGAGATAGCTCATCATACAAAGAAGCGAAAAGGGTTACTGCAGCTTCGTTAATGGAGAAGGATCGGTTGAGTTTGGTACAGAGAAATTCAGAGAGTGGAAATTGAACAAACCCTTTGAGAGCTTCCGATGAAACAAATTCTCCTTTAAGATGACGAATAGTACAAGTGGGTGAGGACACAAANAAAGAAGCGAAAAGGGTTACTGCAGCTTTGTTAATGGAGAAGGATCGGTTGAGTTTGGTACAGAGAAATTCAGAGAGTGGAAATTGAACAAACCCTTTGAGAGCTTCTGATGAAACAAATTCTCCTTTAAGATGACGAATAGTACAAGTGGGTGAGGACACAAATGCTATAGTGGTCCCCTTAGAAGGATGCTGATAAATTTTACATTTAACAGAAATGGGCAAGTTTAGGTCTCTTGAATCGAGTTCTCTGTGCAGGTCAACAATTGCTTCCCATGAATGATGGAGGAGGTCTAAGCTTGCCACTAGATTTGACACTTCCACTCCACTCCTGAACCTGCAACCANTAGGTCTCTTGAATCGAGTTCTCTGTGCAGGTCAACAATTGCTTCCCATGAATGATGGAGGTGGTCTAAGCTTGCCACTAGATTTGACACTTCCACTCCACTCCTGAACCTGCAACCAATGATTTGGTCCGAAAGTAAGAGGTAATGATGTTGGGTTTATTTTTTATATTATGATCAGGAATGATATAAACATAAAAAAAGGCAGTTCAATGCATGATGGGGTTGTATATGAAAATCTAAATCATAAAACATGAAATACAAAGAGATTGAAATTTGTTACAGAACTGGTCCATCTTCTCAACTTAGTAAAATCCCCTTGGAAACAGAGCTAATAGTATCAAGAAATGGCTGTTTGAGATGACAAAACAAGAATCAGTTATATAAAGGTCCAAAGTAGTTTATTAGTCAACTTATGCGTATAAATTAATTTGTCAAGGAAATTCCCCAGTGCTCGTACGTGGGTCTTTCAATTATTGTTTTTAAGATGTGTTTAAGGATACATTTTCCTTGATTAATAAATTGTACTCACAAGATTGCAAAGAATATGCCAAAACTTGTCTATGTCTATTAAAGAATAGATGAGAATTAGCTGATCCTTATTTCTTTTTCAAACATGGAGCTAAACATAACTATCATACGCAATTGCCGGTAAATCAATGATGGGATCAATTGGTGTGTGGGAGATTGATGTTGTGGCTTTGGATAAATCTTTGAAATTATTTGTCGAGTTTAACTTGAATTTAGTCCGAGTTGGAACCCATCATGTTCCACTCAGGCTAATTTATTTTTTTAATTATAGGTTGAATTTAGGCTAAATGTCGTTTGGATTGAGCTCGATTGAGTGTTTTGTAACTTTGCTCTGACTAAATCATTTTTCGGATACATAAAATAGATATACAGATAGGTCACACTTCACATATCTGAGGAGCATTACCCCTCAGCATTGCTTAGCTATCTGTAGGAGATCTTACCGCACCTACATTGGGGCCGAAACTAAGGTCTCATCGTATGCTTTGCGTGCTGAATAGTAAGTTTATCCACTATGAGTTGTCATTGTTACCAAGACTCGAACTTTAACATTGTGCGAGAAAATTCAAGTTCTTACCCACTAAGCCAACAACTCGTTGGTTAATTGAATAATGTTTTAGCCACTAAATAATATAGTTCGTTTGAGCAAAGAGCCTAATAGTATATATTATTCATCTATATCGGGTATAACTTATAATTCATGTTTGTTCAGGTTAGACTGGAATTCTTGTGAACCATTTTTTTAAAAGGCGTTCACCAATTTGTCACCAAATTTATCAAGGCTAAATCCAAATTTATTAATACCGTGTCCATTCCATATCAAACTTGCCAATCGTGTGAAGTTTTGCTAGGCCTTGGGTACATTTTGAAGGGATTGATCCAATTTAGTGTAGTTCTTCAAGATCTGAGATTTGAAGTATGAGGACAGGCCGCTGGACATTTTGTTTAGTTGATTCCAACTGTGACCTCGTTGGACTATACTATAAATCGTTTTCTCCCCTATGAATGCCGACAACTTCGATGTGTAGACCTCTCTTTCTCCATGTTTTTTCACCCGTCTTGGCTTCCAGGAAGTTTATTAGAAAACTAAAGCAGCAGTTATAGGTGGGATTAACAATGTGTCGGGTCTTGTCTAAGTCCGTATCATGTTAAATTATCTTGATAGAACAATCGGAGCGAATTTAAGAGCAAGTGCACAAAACAAAAACTGGATTATCACACACAGCTTCTGAAAGCTCAAGATGGTTTTTTTTCTTGAGTCGAGCAAAGCAACATGGTCTCACTAAGCATAGCTCCGGTAACTGTTCCTCATANGTGCGAATTTAAGAGCAAGTGCACAAACAAAAACTGGATTGTCACACTCAAATTCCGAAAGCGAAACATAGTTTTTATGTTCTATTAAGCAAACAACACAAACTCAGCAAGTGCACAAAACAAAAACTGGATTATCACACACAGCTTCTGAAAGCTCAAGATGGTTTTTTTTCTTAAGTCGAGCAAAGCAACATGGTCTCACTAAGCATAGCTCCGGTAACTGTTCCTCATAAAATCAGTCAACCAAGAATTGGATGGAGCTCCAGTGACAATGAGTTCCTTATACTCTCTCCACCACTTCATGAAACTGCTTTGCTCAAAGAAAATCTCAGGGGAGACTGCATAGTTTTCGATCGAAACGTTCATGTACTTCTCAAACTTGATCAGATTTTGCATTGCTGAGCTTCTATTTTCTATGCTTGTTCCATCCTTCCACACTTGGCATGAAATTATAGCCTCCTCCACATGTGCCCAGAAACAAGAATCTTCAGTCAGANTACTTGTTCCATCCTTCCACACTCGGCATGAAATTATAGCCTCCTCCACATGTGCCCAGAAACAAGAATCTTCAGTCAGACTACTTGCTTTGTTTCTCGGTTTCCCGGCTGGTTTGTCCTCGGTCAGCCACTTCTCCAACAGTATGTAATGCTCAGCCCTTCCATTCTTCAGGTAGTCTTTTTTGCCGGCATTATAGTACTCGGCTATGTCGAGTGGTTCGATCAGCCTCCTACAGTTTGTACCTGAATAGAGCCAGCGAGTCCGAAAAGGAGCCCACTCCTTCTGAGGTATTTGCTTCACTTCTTCAACCATTTTTTCCCAGTACTCCGACAGTTCGTCCTTGTGCTTGGCAATTTTTTCTTTCTTTCTGATATCCTCCACACGTCTGTGCCGTGCATATTTATAGCTGTCGTAGCAACCTCCTTGTTCTTCTGTGTCCTTCTTGTACCATTCGAGGTACATCATCTTTATTTTTACGTCATTCAGTCTTTTGGAAGGATCAAAAGGCTTTCTCTTTCGTATCTGAATGTTCTCTCTTTCAATTTCTGTGATCAGTGCCTTCACCTCATTGCTCTCCTGCTGTTGCTGCCATGATTTGCGGACCAAAAGAGGTAAGGTAATCCAAATTGTGTTTCATATCTATTATCATAGGGTTAATCTGATTAAGTCAGAAATGGAAACATTCGGATATGCTTTGGAGACAGAATGGAAACACAAGTTTAAAGTTTTGAACTCAAAACCCTGGGAATATATTGCAACATTCCACAACACTCCAAAACATAAGGATTTCGATATTTGATTACACTTTAGTAGAGCAATGTTATTGGGACCTAATTTATTATTCGAGATCAAGTGAGTTACCTGATTTCTAATAACTCCGATTGCTTGTAGTTGTAAGATGATTCCTGTTCGAAGTGGATTGGTACCACAATCACCCAGTGATGAAATTCCTCTGTAGATTACCATATTCTTCAGAATTTCTAAAGTCCTCCCATAAATCTGCATGACCACATCAGGATCTTGGTTTTCAACACTCTCCAAGCTGAATGCCAACATTAGTTTCAAAATCGATTCGGGTTCCTCGAAACAAGCAAAACTTGACTCTGAACACAAAAGGAATGAACCAAATGGTTTATAGGTACTAGTGACAGATGAGATGAAGGATTTAGGAAAAGGGTCACGGTTTGAGACTAGGTGCAGAAAGCTGGAATTCCATTTCCGGCGTTCCGATATAGCTCCTTGGAAGTGACTGTCACCAAGGAGGGGAGCCCCAAAAGTGATGCAAAGAGGGGGCTTTGTGGCCTGAGAGGGCATGCTATCAAGGAGCCATAAGGTGAAGAGAGAAGCAATGGATCCCCCAAGAGAATGTCCGGTGATAATTAGTGGAGTGGAATTGCCAAACTGCAATAGAAACACATAGTTGAATTACACAGTGTATCAATATTCATCTTTCTCATTTCTCCAATGTTTTCATACTATGAGGATATGTTTTGGGTATATATATATATATATCACACATTATTATGTGGTGGGGTGCAAACCAAAAAGATTAAGTCCATGCTATCTTTTCAAAATCATCCATGGACACAAAACCAAATGGTCCTGTTATTTTAGTATCAAGTATCAACCTTAACACTATCCATTTAGTTCATTGTGTTAGATGTCCTAATACTAGCTCAATATGTTGATTAATTGTGTCGTCATCTTCGGATCGACATCTCTAATCCAAGACCACCAAGTGGGGTGGTTTAGTGGGACACCGAGCAAACTTTTCACCTTGAAATTGGAGGTTCGAATCTTAGAGTCCACATTGGGATTCAGTAGTTGACCGTTATACTAGCCTAACTAGGTTCATTCTCGAAAGGAGTAACGCGTGCAGTCAAGGACCTCATGATCCCATCAGTGAAGGCCTATCGAGGTTGTCTCTTGTCACTCTCCCTTACCCCCACCTTTTTTGTTTTTTATGATAAAAGAAAAAGATGTCTCTAATCCATGAACTAAAAAATCAAGATTAGATCCATTCTCTCTCAACCAAGCCCACAACGTATATGCCCTTTGCCTTAACAAAAAATCTCACTTGGATCCAGATATTAGCAAAAACCAAGTGACAAAATCTCTATAAGAATCCATGGAAAATGAGAATCAAGAACTTGAAAAAAAATAAAAAAATAGTCGGACATCTTCTTCATACAATACCAGTTAAACAAAATTGTCATGTAAGAATCCATCTACTTTAGGCACTACTCTGATATGCTTATTATTTATGTAAACTGCACGGGATAATTCCTGTCATAGTATGAGACAACGATCTCCAAGCTGACGAATTTGAAACAACAGGGTCAGAAAAAAGGGGGTCAGGTAAGCGCCCGGCTAATCCCCTCTGAAGGTTAAGTCAGTATAAAGTCGAAGGGTTTTGCTCAATGAACTATTTTTTTGATTCAAGTTTGCATACCTTTGTCCATTTTTTTGAGAAGTATTTATATCTGAACTAGCAATGATGGCCAAAGATCTTCAGTCTCATCTGAAGATCTTACATCTGACACATAATTTCTCGTGCAATGAGTGTTTTCTACTCACGTCTCCTCCTATTGAATGCTAAGAAAATGAGGTAAATGCTCGGCCAAATGCTGAGCATTCATGCCACTCCCCCAAGTACCCAAATCCCCTAGATCGGCATTCGACATCAACTAAGCATTGAATACTCGGGAGGAACAGTTCCTCGGGGGAGCCGATTAGGTCATCTCGGCGTATCAGCCATTAATGCTTAGTCATCATGATAGTAGACTTAGATTCCCAGAAAGCAGATGCTGACATGCTCGCATTTATTTGTCTTGTCACTTTCACTCATTCCGCCATGAATGAGGGGTCACATCGCATTAAATATGATGTCAGTTGTCGTATCCGACTGCTCAGTGTCACCATACTTCGGCTTACTTCCTCGGCGCCATTTGGACATCCCAACAGCTTCATTATTCCATGTGTCGACCCGGGGGCTGTAGAGCCACCTAGAGTCCTGCCAACTGCCCCCCAGCTGCCATCCTTTTCGCAGTGTAAGACAAGTGGCGTAAAGGGATTGGGGCTCCCTCATCACGCCTTATTAATAGCGACAGTTACTTGCACGTCTGGTGTCGCCCTTTTCAAACGCCTTAATGATGATCCAACTTTTCGATTCCCGCTCCCTATGAGGCAGTATAAATAGAAGGTTTCATACCTTCTCAGAACTTTTGCATCCTCAACCTCTTTTCAGCAATCAGACCCCGAGTGCTCCTCTATTCTCCTCCAAGTTTCCTTCGTCCTCCGAGCTCTCTCTTTGAAGATCACCTTCTTGTAAGTACTTCCACTTGAGTTTTTTCTCTCTTCATTTTCGCTACATTTCGTCCTTTTAGCGCCCACCAATGGCTAGGACTAGTAGAACCAAGGGGGAGACGTCTATTAGGGCTAGGACTACCCATAAGATGAGGAGAACCTAAGTGACCGATGAAAATATTCAAGCCTTTAGGGTTAGGTACCACATCCGTGAGCCTGTCTTCGCTTTTCCCTTCAACCCCACTCACCAAAGGAGGGATATGGAAAATGTGGACATGATGTCTTTCTAGACGAAGGCCATCATGGAGGGAGGGTTGACCTTTCCCCTTCATCCCCTGTTGCTGGGAGTGGTGATGCAACTGAAGCTCTTTCCCCTTTAATGTGGGGTTAACTTCTTTAGAATTGTGATGGGCGTAGTCGCCTTAAACGCTCGGCTGGGGACCAACTTAGGAGTAGATAAAATTTTATTCTGCTACGACCTAAGGCTAGTCGCCCGGGGGCGATATTACCTCCAGGCTCGAGACGCCTCAATGTATCTGGTAACTCACATGCTCGACTCGAACAAGGGGTATGTAGACGATTTGATCATGCTCAGTGGAAGTTGGGAGAAAGGGACCGGGCCCAAGTATGACGAATTGTACTACACCAAAGTGTCGAGGGATGAAGGTGTGTTTTCTTTCCAACTTCTTGATTTTGCTATTCTTGGGTCCAAGGGACGCACTAATTTTGCTTTGCTTTTGCAGAAGGATATCGTCGGGACGCCGCTCAACCGTTGAGGTCCCAAGTCTGGTTTGCCGACCTGCTAAGGGTTTGGTCCTCGGACCCAGTTGAGCGAGCGGCGCATACTCTCCTCGGCTACACGCCGACTTACAGCCGATTCTCCCAGATCCCACCTTCTTTCAACCCTTCTGTTTGGGAATACCATTCCTCGTCGAAAGAGGAAGAATCCGAGGGAGATTCCGAAGAAGAGTCTAATCATCACGCTCCCGAGCCCCTTGCGCTTGACATGTTTAATCCATCACCAGTCACCGCTGCTACAATCGAGGCCACCGTGGCGGCAAGGAGAGCCCGCCGGGGCTGGCCATGCCTTCCAACACTGCCCCCATCATTCCCCTGCCTAGTTCTCCTCGGAGGCAATTGTCGTCGCATACACAATCATCCAGGGACCCGGCCGTGCCGACCAGGCAAAGGCCCCAATCTCAACAATTCCCCACTCCGGGAGACCAGCTGAGGGATAGGCGTGCCTAGGACACCAAACAATCTGAGGAGCGCTGTGTTAAGCGGTGGCATAACGCCCCGGGCCCAGGCCCGTTTGTCTCGGGCGAGTGGGTACCTTAGGCCGAGACTAGGAGCGACCGCCCTGTTTTGGAAGCCGACTCGATCCTCCAGTCCCCTGAAATGGCGTTTGCCGTCACAGGAACGCTTCAATTTGTTGCCGATATGGCCATGTACAAAGGTTACTCGGACAATCGATTTCTAATGAGCACTATCCAAAACAACCTGGTGGTAAGTTTAACACTTTTTCGAGTATTCCTCGCACCCTTTTGGTTATTCCATAATATTCCTCCTTTTCCAGGCCAGCCAACAGGTGGGGGCTATAATCGAACATTTTTTGGAATATAAACAAGAGGCGAAGAACGTCGAGCGAGCCGTAGCTGCTAAGGACGACCAAACCAAGCACATCGCCTAGCTCATTCGCCACCGAGATGCAGTTCATGTCGAGCTGGAAAAGACCAAGGCGGGTGAAGCTGCGATGATAAAGAAGGCCGAGGAGTACGAGCCGCGAATGTCCTCCTCCGAATCCAAGCTGCAAGAGTCTGAGTCTGTAATCAACGCTCTTACTGCCAAAATGGACTCCTTGACAAAAAAGAAGGCGGGGGAGCAGGAAAGACTGCAATCGAAATGTCAGAAGGTGTGGACGGCCACTTAAGACCAAATGGTCTCTGCTTTTAGAAAGCCAATATGAAGGCTTTCAAAGAAGGTTGGGACACCGCCCTTCATGCCTGCCACGTCGAGGTAGGCTCGGACTTGTTCGCTATGCACAGCCTTCGAAGGGAGGCCTATGACGAAGCCCTGGACGAACAGGTCCGATCCGACCTAGGTGACCACATGGAGGCAGAAGGGCCGGTTGGGGCCGAAGGTAGGAACGATCTCATCACACTCAGCAACTGTTCTGACCAGCCTTCTCCTACCCTTCCGTCTTTGCCACCTGCCAAGCCAACAGATGATCTTCCCCCTCTGCCCCCAATCATTACTGAGGTGCATGATACTGATCTAGATGAGATATTGGGGGTCGGAGACGAGCTATAAAGGTGGAGTGGAGGCCTCAATTGGGGAGGAGCCGGGGAGGAATGAGCCGAGGGCCTTAGCAGCTAGTGGCCTGTCACTTCTATGTCCCGTATTTATTTTGTAGCTCTTTGTAGCTCTTCTTTGTACATAATTTAGTTACTGTTTGTATGCTTGGGGACTCAAAGCCCCTTTTTGATCATAATGAACTTCATTTTTCTACACGTGCCTTTTCTTTCCTGCATCAGTCGTATTTCAAGGAAATGACCTTGACGTTACGTCAATAAGGACCTTCTAAAGTAGCAAGGCTTCACGTCGAATTCATAAAAGTAGACTCGTCGAACTTGCTGTCGTCTTTGGACCTCGCGGGACCGAGTATATATAGGGGTGGAGTCTTACACCCCTCGGGGCCGTACCCCTAACGATCGAACGCTTGACTCGTGTTAATGCAACCATGAAGACTGAAACCTAATTTAGTAGTAGTATTTCTTTAACTTTGATACATTTCATGGCCGGATTACATCGTCACCGTTCATATTTTGTAATCGATACGCACATGCGCCCCCCACAGAGATCACCTTATAAGGGCCCTCCCAATTGGGACCCAGTTTCCCATCAGTAGGTGTAACACCCCGCATTTTCTTTTATATATGTATATAGATATATAGTAAATAATTGTTGTAAAAATGGGGATATGTGTAGTGATGTGTGTTTGAATTTGG